CGATACTTTTTTTTTTAAAGTTGACAGAAGAAGCAATAGTTCGGATGAGGTAAATAGTGCTCTTTTAAAAAAAAGATGGCGCGTAACCAAAAAACGTGACGCGTAACCGAAAAAATGTGACGGTAAATTTTTTTCCAACGCCGATAAAGAAGTTTCACTTCAAAAAGTTCACCAAGTATAGTCATTCTGTACTTTTGATTCTCGCTAAATCAGTTTCGGAAATAATACGAATGGGCTGTTGACCATCGGATTTGCGTAAGTGAAGTTTCCCTTTGAGGTCCAACAGTAGGAGTAGCCGTCGTTGCGCACAAATTCACTCGCCAAGTAGAATATTTTTTGAGTTTTAGCAGTTAGTGTTTCCGAGACATATACAGGAATTGGTGAACCAGGGATTTTAAGATGTGTTGTATTTAGTTTTTCTCCCTTTACCTTTTGTTTATTGAAGTTTTTCACGGCGTTTAAAAAGGTCTCTTTCATTAATACAGAAGTAAATTCAATGATTAACGGTTTGTTGGTTTCTTTACTCGAGTTAATTCTGTATATATCTTTAATTTCCGATTCATTTAAATTTGTGCCAATGCTTTCGCCTAAAGATTTTACAATGCTATATAAGTACAGTCAAAGAGGAAATCTACATGAACCAACCTGAAGGCTTCAATGATGGCACAGAGAGGGTCTGCAAGCTGAAAAGAAGTCTTTATGGCCTAAAACAAGCGCCTTTGTGCTGGAACACCTGTATATCGCAGTATCTGGTGGAATCTGGATTTAAACAATGCACTCATGACCCTTGCCTTTATATACGAAACCAAGTACTAATTGCACTCTACGTTGACGATGGATTAGTAGCGTCAAGTAGTGATGCAGCAAGCGTTAATAGGCTAGTTGACTCATGTCGAATTGTATTAAATAAATGTTTATTTCTTACAGTATTTGGTCTAAGGAACCTAAATATATCGATTTCACTTCATAAAAGCAGAAGATTGCTGTAGAAATTTAATTTAAAAAAATATTTTTTAGTCTATAGTTTTTAAACACTAAAAACGCTGTTCGCTACATCCGCCATGATTGTGACGTCTCTTTCAGTAAACAACTCAATGTCATTCGCGTGTTGTTATGGGTGGATTCTTTAGTCTGAATAAATTTTTCTTAAAACACTTTTAACTTTAGAAAAGTTTCCGTTTACTGTTTTTTTGACAAAACTAATTATGGATGCCGGCTTTATGAAAGCAGAAAGCACAAATCTGCCAAGAATTGACGCATTGATGGTTGGTGAATTTTTTGCACTGAACCCCGATTTCTGCTCTGCGGAGCAGAGAAACGACAAGGCATCTATGTAAGTAAAGTGCATTTAGTCGATTCTAGCATGATTCTCTAAACCTAAACTTAAATTTGACAGCAGCATATCCTTGTCATTCTCTATACAGAATGAAAAGGAGAGACTGATGTTAAATTTAGTTTTAAGCTTAGAGAATCACGTCAGAATCGGCACCAATGTAGTAATAAACATAAAACTGATACAACATATGAATAAGTGTAATAAAGTTGCGTAGGTTAATTTCTTTCCGCACTTTAATCCACAACTTTCCTGGAGTCTTCAAGGATGTGTTTTTATATTCTCGTACAATACAGTAATGATAATTACTTTATTTTTCGTGGTATTTATTAGAAATCATGTTCTTTTTATTATAAACTCAGATAAGTTATTTTCTACGTGCTTACGAGTTTTTGTTTACTACAGTTGACATCATAAAGGAATAGGCTAGTTGACCCTTTTTGGAAAAAGGTTTTAAATGGTTAATAAATGTTCTATTAGACCGAAAAAAAATGTATTGTATTTTTTTTAAACCTAGAAAGCTACAAATCTTTAATTTTAAAATAGACTTTTCATGGACATACAAAAACGCTGTCGGCCATTTTAGTCTATAGATTGTCTATGCTATGACGTGAACTGTGGTAAACAAAAACTCGTAAACACGTAGAAAATTACTTTTAACTGAGTTTATAATAAAAAAAACCATGATTTCTAATAAATACCACGAAAAATAAAGTAATTATCATTACTGTATTGTACGAGAATATAAAAACACATCCTTGAAGACTCCAGGAAAGTTGTGGATTAAAGTGCGGAAAGAAATTAACCTACGCAACTTTATTACACTTATTCATATGTTGTATCAGTTTTATGTTTATTACTACATTGTAATACTAAATGCACTGTATGTTTCTCTGCTCTACGGAGCAGCGGGGTTTAGTGCAACAAATTCACCAACCATCAATGCGTCAATTCTTGGCAGATTTGTGCTTTCTGCTTTCACAAAGCCGGTATCCATAATTTGTTTAGTCAAAAAAAACTAAGTTTACTGTTTTTTTCTTTCCTAAAGTTAAAAGTGTTTTAAGATAGATTTAGTCAGACGAAAGAATCCACCTACAGTAACACGCGAATGACATTTAGTTGTTTACCACAAGAGACGTCAAAATCATGGCGAATGTGGCGAACAGCGTTTTTAGTGTTTAAAAAATATAGACTAAAAAATATTTTTTAAAATTAAATTTCTACAGCAATCTTCTGCTTTTATGAAGTGAAATCGATATATTAAGGTTCCTTAGACTAAACACTTTAAGAAATAAACATTTATTTAATACAATTCGACATGAGTAAACTAGCCTATTAAGCAGCGGTTCAAAATCATAACAAAACCAGCCAGCTATTTTCTTGGTCTCGAAATTGGTAAATCTAAAGATGGTGATCTAATTGTACACCAAAGGTCTTACACCAAGAAAATATTAGAAAGGTTTGGCATGATTGACTGCAAAAGCGTTTCATCTCCTGCTGTAAAAACCTTGAAGGAGGATAATGACAAAGGAGCCAACATAAACTTTCCTTATCGCCAAGCGGTAGGTACACTGGCATATCTAATGGTCGCCACAAGACCTGACATCAACTATGCAGTGAGTATGGCTTCAAGACATCTTGAAAATCCAACACAGATGGATATTTTAAAAGTAAAAAGAATACTAAGATACTTAAAGGGAACTATGGACACCGGACTAGTCTTTAGAAATGAAAAAGACAGAAAGTTAATCTGCTACAGCGATGCAGATCACGGTGGAGACTCTGTTACTGGACACTCTACTACAGGCATGGCGTTCTTCTTTTCTGGAACAATTTTCTGGAAGAGTCAGAAACAATCTTCTGTAGCCATATCTTCTACAGAAGCTGAGCTTATAGCGCTCTCCGAAACTGCCCGGGAAACTATATGGCTACAAGGACTCTTAGAAGAACTGACAGAAGTAGAAAAGCCTGTCATATATGTAGATAATGAGTCTGCGATAAAATTATCAGCAAATCCTCCCTGCGAATATCATAAAAGAACAAAACATATAAAGCTCAAGCATTTTTTCATAAGAGAATGTGTCACCAAGGGTGAACTATCTGTGAAACAAGTTTCCTCGGAAAAGCAACTCGCCGATATGTTGACAAAACCTCTCTTTGGACCAAGACTGCGAGATCTAAGTAAAAGAATTGGACTCCAAGGTTTGAACTGTATCAGTCCCTAAAAGTCCTGGGGATGTTAAGAGGACAGCCTTTATTATACCACGAGTAATAAAGAGTCTTTACACTCTTCATAGATCTTTATGACTATAAAAGAGAGTAATTGATATTGTTAGCTGTCTTGTAAAAATATATTTAGGTCTTGTGTGTCTTTTATGGAAATACCAAATGAAAGTATTATTTAATTATATTTCCAACTTTGTTTACGTTAATTGCCCATCAAATATAAAACTTAATAAGCGGACGTGAGAACTTTATTGTAGCGTTGACTACCTCACAGAAGCTTATCGAAAAAGCAAAATCGGTACGTTTCGTGCCAAACACTCCAAGAAACATTAGAATGCGTCACACCGACATTCTAATGTAAAAAAAAGAAGAATAACTGAACTCAAGATTAGGCTGTATGGGCATTGTTTCCTTTGCTTCTCAAAAAAAAGAGAATCTTAAAATAAAAAAACTAGAACTAAGTTAACCTAGGGGTGTCCACTCTGAAAAAACATCGATGTATTTTTTGATTTGATACATCGCAACTGTACATCGATTCTTTCGATGTATCGGATGAAAACATCGATGTATTTTAGACATCGAGTACTTTTTCTGAAATTTTATTACAAAACCCAACTTATGTGGAAAGTGACTCATCTCAAAAGAGGCCATCTTTTCATAGTAAAATACGTTACTATTGTAGTTTATGAAAGGACCTTAATCCATAATTTTAGTATAGTTTAGATATTAATCTTTCATAAAATAATAGAATTAACTCCTTTCATAATAAGTAGGTAAAAGTAAATACAAGTAAAAGCCATGTAACAAGAAAAATCTGTATTATATTTTACAAAAGATCAAATTGAAAAACACTAAATAACCCGCAAAATTTTTGCTAAGACCTTCAAAAGAATATAAGAAATATACTACAATGGTGCCAATTCTGGCGTCATTCTCTAAACTTAAAACTAAATTTAACATCAGTCTCTCCTTTTCATTCTGTATGGAGAATAACAAGGATATCCTGCTGTCAAATTTAAGTTTAGGTTTAGAGAATCACGCTAGAATCGACACCAATCTTAGTTTGTTTCACAAAACCAAAGGTTATTAAATGTTTATAAACATAGAAACACGTAGATATTTTTTATTGTCACTGCACTTGACTTAACATCGGGTCCATTTCAGAAAATTCGGAATAATGATGCTTTCGTAATAGTAATAAGTAAAATTTCAGTGGTCAAACTTAAGTTTTTTTTTACTGAGGTCAAACCAAAGAGGATATTATCACTACGTGATCAAAGTCTATTACCAATTCGATGCTTTTTAAAAACATCGATGTATCGATTATATTGAAAGTTTTTCAAAACATCGGATCGGTTTTAGTTTTTCATTGCAAACATCAATTTTTCGATGCATCGATGTATATCGAATATCCCTAAGTTAACCTCAAAATTTTATTGTTGAGTGACCAAACAAATAGCACATGTTGCTGGATTTTTATTTTCTTAAATTATGAAAATATTGTAGTTTAAAATGGTACGTAGGTTTTCTAAAAGTGATGCATGTTCTGAAGTTAATGTTATACAATGATATTTTCTTACAGAGTAAGTTGTACGTGCTTTATGAGCATAGTGCGGGCTTCGCCCTATTTCGTGTGGCGGAATTTGAAGAGTTGTCTGCATTTTTGCCTCAAGTGGAAGAGTCTGTAACGGATCTACAACGCTTCAACTCAGTAGTCACCCTGATAGCATTTCAACCGTTCAAGTCTGCAATTATAGCATTGGAGAATATAAATGCTATATCTGAAGGTAATTTTTTTTAGAGGTTATTCCATAAACTCAGTGGTGTCAATCTGATGGAAATCTTCATTGTATGGTACACATTGGTTTTGGGAAAATGCTGTACACTGACAACCTTAATTATTTATAATATTACTGTATGGTTTTCCATTTTGCACGTGACATTTGCGAGTTTCTTTTTTATTGTTGCGAATATCTACACAATTTATAGCTCCAATTAATAAAACATACTAAAACATCTGAATTAACCACTTCTAAAAGGTAAACAAACATCAAAACGTATTGTCGTTGTAGTGTTTTATACATGCTGAATTTACAAAACTGAAGACTTTTTAAATAATTTTAAATCGAAAGTCAAGAATTGAACTTGACTAACTGGAAAAAAAATTTAAGAGGTATTTTTTGCTAATAACATGTAACACTGGCATCTGTAAAGCGTCATTGTCATGCCAGTGTTAGCGCAACAACTCCGGGCTTACGCAGCACTCGTGTCACGGCGTCTTTTCTATGTTTTGTTTAGTGAACAAGTACAATGCTATCTGGCTAGCGCTGGTGCAAATAAATTCTCAATTTCTAGCTCAAATTAATATAATTTGATAAAAAGCAATGCTATAAAACACTCATAAGTTTTTCTAAAGGGTAAAATAACATCAAAAATTTTTATGTATTGATTACAATTTGTATGAGTCCGCATTTGCAAAGGGCGTCGTCTGCTTAATAACGCTCACTGTTTTATAATATGCTTAAGGAAAAATGTAAATTGCCTTGTCACTTGATAATATGCCACAACATATAATAGACAATTCATTCCTTTTCCTAACATGCGTGGTGCATTAATCAAAGTAAAATCTAGTAAAAAATCTAGTAGTAGTTTTGTGATACAGAAAAATATGGAAAACAGTGCAAATTCTGTGTTGAAAGGACTTTCCACAAAGCAAAGTATTGTTTTAAAGACATTTATTATAGGGAATTAATAAAACTAACATTAACAAATAGGAGCAGTAAAAAAGCCATGCACAAATAACAAAATTATTTGACAATCTGCTGCTCGGAAGACTACCGCGGAATATTATTTATTGGTATAAAAAGTATGATATGATAAGTTTTCGCGATGTGGACAATCTTATTTTGAAAAAAAAAACAGTCCTAAGAGTCCAACAGTCCAATCTTTAGAAGAATATTAATATTTTGATATATATTCATAGGGACTGCGGACATGGTGGTCGAGACAAAATTCAGTACTTATCAAATTATAGATCAATTTATTATTGTTTTTTTACATAGTTAATTACTTTAGAAGTGTGCAACTAAGCATGTATTTTAATTTAGTCCTATTTGAATAGATAACTACCTGATTTCTGCAATATAGTCTGATTTGGCGAACATGTGTTTTTTGATGGTCACTTTACTATAACAATCAATGTCAAAAGGACACTGTTGAAATTTGTATGTGTGGTGGTAGTCAGTCTCTGGTGCACTCCAATTTTTTATGGCATGTGTGAGTGCACTTAATTGTTTAGCAAAAAGCTAGAATTTATTTAATCCCCATTTTTTAAATTATAATTATAATGTAAAATGACATAGTTATTGATTAGCAAGTTTATTTACGTGTTTTTTTTTTGTCTTAGTATGAAATAGATTCTATTATAGTAATTAAAGCAGTGATAATGATTCTATTTATCTCGCATAATTTTATTAGGTGTTTTGTGTGTATTGGATTTTAAGAAAAATCTATCAAAAATTGATATAATCATTTTACTATGATTGCGCAAATATCGGCCATGATTGGACAGATTGACATTTAACAGTGATTAAGTTCTCGTTTATAATGATAGACACTAGACATTATAAATATCTGTTCATGTTATTACATAAAACAAGCTTATAAATGATATTATATTTTATTGCTGCTGGAAACTGACTACCACTTTTAACAATTGAATGAGTCGCCAATTTGCCTTTGGCATATTTTATAAAACAGAGAGTGTCAATTAGTTTTGTTAGATGTTACAAAGCAAGAAATTTTTATACCAAGTGCCTGCGACATAAACATTAGATAGATGAGAAATTTATTTTAATGACAATGTATTACATATTTTTAAGCTTATCCCAGAATTAATGTTTATGTACATTATATTATGTGATGAAAATATTTTAAACCTATAAGGGTTTCCTGTTCTCTTTTGAGTTACGGAATCCTAAAAATATATGTTTTCTTTCAAGATTATTTAAATGTGTATGACCTGTAACACCTTACACCCCTTTCATGGAATAATATATTATCTCTTTAAGTTGAAGTTTTGTATGTATTAGTGTATGCTTTGCTACAAATAATGTTGGTGTTGAACATTAAATCTAAACTGTACTTGTTCGGTATTCAGAGTTAAAAATAAAAATCACCTTATATTGACGAACATTGACATGTAAGTGTCTTTTTTATTATATTCCATGTCATACATCAAATATTTTAAACGAAACCATAAAGACGTTAAGAAAGTAGAGAATTTAAGATGTGGTGTGCATTGTGCCATGAACCATATCTCAACATTGGGGACGGGGAGACACTTCTAAAAATCACAAGGTTAGATTAATGGTGTGATCATAATGCGTGAGCCGAGTGAGCGAAGCAAGAGTGACGCGGCAACGGCCGGCAAAGCTCAAGAAATTATTTATTTACAAAAAATGTGTGAAGTGTGAACTCCCAGGCCCAACAAGTACAATTTTACTGTGACAAACACCCTAGTGGTCATTTAAACTCAAACACATTGGTCATTGAGTGCTAACAGGCAAAAAATTTAGAACCACCACTATAACTATAAAATATTGCTGGTTGTCGCAACTTGGCATATCTATATTTTTATCTAAAATTATAATAAATCTTTGTTTACTAGGTATTTTGCCAGAGGATTTAAACTTATTCCTGGAAGGAGCTTTACCTAAACGAAAGAAAAGAAGCAAATGCACACTAGGAGTGCTAGATCCAAAGTTAGGGGCAGCAATTAGTGAAGCTCTTGAAATACAATGCTCGCACACTGGTGCAGTTCCAGAAATATTAAGAGGTAAGGCTATGGAAGAATCAACAAGCAAGTGCAAAGTGCAAGAAGGAATCAGTCTAACCCTTCTGATGCAACAGAAGTGTTCCGCTCCAGCTTATCTCTTAAGCCTGAACCCAATCCTTTCTCAGTGGAGCCCTAGAAACCTTACTGGTCAACAAATAAACAAACAGACCTTTCAAAAAAGTGCTTTATATTTATGCCTCTTATGTCCACTCAGTAGAATACAAAGCAGCTGCTGCTCTATGCAATCGAAAACCCTATATTGGTTATCAGAATCTGTAATTTTGTTAGTTTCAAATAATATGCTTTTTGATAAGATACACTATAAATATGACATAATTATATTCATTCAGGCATACGCCACCATTTTCACGCCCTGATCAAGGGGCTGACTCTGAAGGCATGCAGCGTGGCTCAGCTCGGCCTGGGGCACTCCTACTCCCGTGCCAGGGTAAAGTTCAACGTCCACCGAGTAGACAATATGATCATACAGTCCATAGCTCTGCTGGACCAACTGGATAAGGATGTCAACACTTTTTCTATGAGGATCAGGTATGTATTATTGATTGGTGGACATGTTTTTCTTTTCAATTAGTATCTTTAACAACTTGTAACAGAAGAAATTTTGTTAACCCTTAATGTAATCAAAAAACAGCAGCTTAAAGTAGCATGACGCATTGACTTCATTGCAGATGAGAATAATTACTACTTGTTAGAATTGTTTGTTTGTTACATCGAAAGTAAATCTGAAGCGTTCGGTAATTACGCTCAGATCATCCGATGTAAATCTGTTTGCTAGGAGTATATTGACGATAAGAAAGATTAATCTGGTTATCTGTCATGTTGTGAGGTTAGTTTCTGTTTGAAGTTAGAAATTAATCTACGGTTGGTCGGGCTGTTCGGTAATAGCAATGTGCGCGGGCTATGAGTAGTGTAGTACTTTATGTTTACTGAACAAAGTTGTCGAGTCATTAGTAGTATAAGCAGGCGCACAAAATAAGGCGGGCACAAGCCGTGTGCGAGTCCTGAGCGTGATCGACGCGTCTCATCTGCACACGCCCATGATTGACATGATCTCTTCGCTTTTTTTTTCTATAGAGAGAAGTCTAATAATTTACTACACTTTACTTGTTGTTCACTTCACTACATGTGTCAATTCAGCTCTTAGATGGTGTACTAATAAAATGCTAAAATGCCATTATTAAAATATACTTTATGGGACAACATTTAGTTTTAAAGGCATCAATGACATTTCCCACAGAGAATGGTATTCATACCACTTCCCGGAGCTGGTGAGCATCGTTCCAGAAAATCACTTGTACACAAAATGTGCCGAGTTCATCAAAGATCGCAAGACACTCTCTGAAGAGTCCGTGGAGACGCTTACGGAGATTCTAGGTGACTCCGAGAAAGCCCAGGCCATCATCGATGCATCCAAAATGTCTATGGGTATGGACATTTCACCTGTGGACTTAATCAACATACAAATGTTTGCGGGGAGAGTGGTCGCCCTCGCTAATTATAGGTAAGTTATTGTAGGAATAAATTGATCAAATTTTGGGCTTTCATTCAAGTATAATAATTTAACTTAAGTGTAATGTAATGCCATTAATAAATAATTTTTCACAGCCGCATGTGAACAATTCTATGACACAATCATTCTTGTATATACAAATTATAAGTTTAAAATGACTAATAGATACCTAGTTGTGAAGTTTTATTTATTGTATATGATTGTCACAGACTACTATAGCTTAGTGGCTTATTTCTCTCGATTCGATTGGTGGCTGCGTGTAGTGACTTGACTGAGCCACTAGTGGTCGCGTTTAGTGGCTGCGATTAGTGGCTCAATGTGCGCTTGCTCTTTATGTTTGTTATCATGTCATATCATGAATACAAAGCTATCACTTTATTCCTCCTCCGTTCTATCGCAGGAAGCAAATAGCGGAGTATTTGCACACGAAAATGAATTCTGTCGCTCCAAATTTAACGACACTAGTTGGTGACCAAGTGGGCGCCCGTCTCATATCCAAGGCTGGCTCTCTAACCAGTCTCGCCAAGTACCCGGCTTCAACTCTTCAGATCCTGGGTAAGAAACTTTCATAACACCCAGATGAAATAATAAAGAACACAAATAAAAAATATATTTATTGAAGTTATACTTCTTTAGCCGCGTTATGAAAAAATTATGAGAGTGAAATTTTAAGATGCGCGCGCATCACTGTAACACAAAAGTAACATAATGAAGTTAGCCGCGGGCGCGTTATGAAAAAATCATGTGAGTGAAATTTCGAGATGCGTGCGCATCACTGTAACACAATAGTAACACCATGAAGTTGGCCGCGGGCGCGTTATGAATGTTAGTGTCTAATAATGGTGGATTATTAACCACTAAGTGGTTAATAATCCACCATTATTAGACATCTGTTCGAAAGGTACTTTGAACGATCCACGGAGCTCCATAAGATGATCGCGTTGTCAAAAACAATGTTGGCACGCTCGTCGCCTCTGATCACTGTTTTCATATTTATAATATTTATCCACATGTTTCTAGTTTCTATATAGACACAACGTGTTTTAGTTACTTACAAGTGCTAATTAGATATGGACTAATAACTTAAATTCAGTAGTGATTTTAATTGAATATTTTGAATATTTATTTAATTTTTCAAATTAAAACTGAACTTAATTGACTGTGTTAACTATCCTTTTCCAGTCCTTTTATTATTTTATTGTTATTATTAAAAATATTTTTAATGATGCTAAAGAAGTATAACTTCTCACGCGCGTACATAAGTTACACTCATCCATTTTTTTCCATCACGACAGAGATACATGGTTTGTCTTAATTTATGATACAATGTTGTTGCTTCGCTATTTGTGATGAGCTGGTGCCCGAAAAAGGTTTTAGCAATAGAAACCTGTGCTACAGGTCACCAAGCCCAATCACAGACAGCAGGACTTCTACGAATACTAAATATAATACCTATGGATAGTTAAAATCTATACGTTGTTACAATCGCAATGAAGAGAAAGTAATATAATAATTTATACGTAAATTATCACTACCTTACATAAATAATATCTTTCGTAATGTTACCTAGCCTAGTATAAAAGTTAGAAATCCTACTCTTGAGAGTGCAAATAACAAACCACGTTCAATGTATTTAATTTTAATAATCAAGGTTTGATGAAAAAATATAATTATTCAATAAATATAACGTACTTTATTATTATTAATTGTACACAAGTCACGATAAAATTATTTGTCCCAAACTAAGCATAGCTTGTGCTCGAAGTATACAAAGTCACCGTAATGAGTTGGGGGAAAAAAATGTGTGTGTTTATTACAAGAATAAATTCACTTCTGGCATTTGAACTCAAAACCTTTGGTGCAGAAGGCAGGAGCGTTAGCGCTACGAAGCTGGTATTAGCATTTATTTGTAAGATGAAGAATTTTAAGTCTGCATTCTGCATGTTAGTAGTGGAAACAATTATATCTATATATATAAAACTCAAAGGTGACTGACTGACATAGTGATCTATCAACGCACAGCCCAAATCACTGGACGGATCGGGCTGAAATTTGGCATGCAGGTAAATGTTATGACGTAGGCATCCACTAAGAAAGGATTTTGATCAATTCTACCCCCAAGTGGATAAAATAGGGAATGAAAGTTTGTATGAAACTTTGTCAATTTTAAACTGATCGGGCTGAGACTTTGCATGCAGGTATAAGAAGAATCATAGATGAATGTTATTGTGTATAATACAAGCCTGAGAACAAAAACTGTAGTCTACACTTCAGCTCTACACCGAAGCGAAGCGAGGGCGGGCCGCTAGTGTAGTAATAAAATTGATAGACACACAGATTTATGTCTAAGCCTGATGGTAACTCGGTTTCAGTGCTTTTTCCCATTCCAAAAACGTTGCACAGGTACAGATAGGTATATTAAAATAGTAACTTGTCTTTCCCAATAAATGTTTATATTTTTGTTATCTACTAGGTGCTGAGAAAGCCCTCTTCCGTGCCTTGAAGACCCGTTCGAACACACCCAAATACGGTCTGTTATACCACTCTACGTTCATCGGGCGCGCCGGACTCAAGAACAAAGGTCGGATCAGTAGATACCTCGCCAACAAGTGCTCCATAGCCAGTAGGATAGACTGCTTCTCAGGTAACTTTATCATCATTAACGTTAACTTATTATAGAACTAGTAGCCGCCCGCGACTTAGTACGCGTGGAGTAATAAATAAAGGTTCACTGCTCGTTCCCCGTAGGTGATAGCCTGATAATATATAGCCTATATGTTGACCCGCCTTCTTAATAATATTCGTGCCAAAGGAGAATGGTCATTTTACTTTGGGAGTTGGGCTAAGTTTTTTTCATTGCGTCTTATTGGAATAAGTGTACAACAATAGGGAATCAGGTGTATATTGCGTAGGAAAAATATCATTAGAAACTTAAGTAGTGGTTCAAAGAAAATATTAAATTACGTAAGCATTTTAAGGTTATGTCATATTTAGATTCGATTAAATTCGATACTTATACCATACTTAATTATTACTAGGTATACTACTTTAAACTGTATTTAATTAGGTTGTGACCTTTTGTCTTCTATTTTGGACTGGGAGTGAAACAAAAATTGAATGCACTTCGTAAAATCTTATCAACGAGCAGCGTATATTTGTAAACTGTTGCGTTGGTGAGCTGCTATCTATCTCTATTTATTCCAAACATCTCAGATTCAATAAATGTGGCGTTGTTGAGGTGCGGTTATATTAGTGCTATTTATACTTATTCTCTTTACGCTCAAGCTGCACCTTTGATGCTCTGTTAACCCAACAATGGATATAATATTATTTAAGGTTTAGGAATCAAAAATAAGACAAAATATTTTAATAATGATAATCATTTATTGATAACACATTTATCCAAATCGACATTATTAATGTGATATTTTTATTTTATATTTTTTGGGGTTATGCCGTATCCAGTGGAACTGTAGTGACTTCGCCTAAAATATCTTTTGTAACTCGCCACCATGTCCTGTTGAGTTTGAAATATCCAGTTAAAGCTCTGCTAAGTTCAATTAACACAGCAGTTTATACATTAAGCGTGCTCTAACCCTGGTTTATATATTGCCTTTTTTTTAAAAAGAATTGACTTATATACCTTCTTCAAATACCTCATCTAAAAATGTAGCTGGAGCATGCGTATCGTTAAATCGCCCCCAGCTAAGGTACCAAACTACCGTCATTACGTGTGCGCAACATCCTACTGTCCTTTTGCCTACAATACAACTGCAGCAATAGCCAACTAAACAAATTAGTGAGTTGGCTATATTGGTGTTACGGCTGACTAAAATGTAAACAAAATAGGTGCGTCCACCAACGTGTCTCGACTTAATACGTCCTCTAAGCAGATAATTGTTTAAACCTAATACAAGGGGAACATCTTCATCTATTTCTGTATTTATTTCTATGGAATATATCCCAGACGATCGAATATGTTCCCCATAATATGATCGCGCCTGCTTTAACTGATAAGTGCCTAATGCAAAGCGTTTTAAATCAGTGATGCTTAAACTGGGAAAGGTTTCCAAGTGAGGATGATTGCCATCAATTGCAGAATCCTGTATTAAGGAGGATTCTGGAGGATCCTGTATTAAGGGTGAAACTTATTTAACAGAGCACATGCAATTCTTAAATCATCTTTTAAATGAGTTGCAGCTCTGTTATTAAATACATGCCTGAACAATCTAAAATCTCGTTTTATACGTCCATTTACTATTTCAACCACCCAGCGACACATTGTTACAAATCTAGATTTGTTAGCCTGAAGGGTAGTGAGTTGATGTTCACCATCTAATAATGATTCAGGCATGTAAGCTTTAAAACCAAGATCCTCCATAAATTCAATTACGTCCTGAAACCCCCTATCCAGAATAAAAACATCATCCTGCCGGAAAAATGAAATAAAATAATCCCGGAGGATTTTATTTCTGCTGGCCACTTGCTCCACATTTACATGACCAAAGCCCAAATGTCTTGACACAAAATCTTCAACTAAACAACTTCTAGCTATATTCATTTTTCTCTCCAAGGTCCTACGAGACATTTGAAAGAGGGAACTTAATCGTTCATTGCTGTCCCCAGTTCTTAACTTGTCTATGTAAATACAGAGTGCTAAACGGGGATTTTCGACTCTCTGTAATAAGCTTGGTACACATGCCAAGAGTTCATCAAACTGTTCAGCATTCATTCCCAGCCAATAAATGGCATATGAAAGGAGCCATTGCAGAAATATTTTCAAATTCGAAACAATGGGAAACTGCTCTCTGCATTATATTCAAAACGGCATCAAACTGTACACCAGTAAAATCTTGCAGATTTGATGTTAAATCACTCCAACGCCCATTATTCAAGTGATGTTGACATATTCTACAACATGTGGGAACATAGAATTTATTATGTATTAATAACATTTCTCTTATTACTCTGGGTACTAATAAACATTGTTGTTCCCGGCATCCTGAAAACAGACAACTCGATGAAGTGGCTACAGCACGCTTATATACTGATGACTGTATCTTAGGTATAACAGGTCTTGAAGGCTGAACAGGTAATAGACCAGCGGGAAATGGTGGTGGTACTGGGATCACTGGTACAGACTGGTTCTACATCAATTTGTTCAATTGATGACCGATTCGCATCATGTAACTGTTGCCTTTGCACTTCCCTATTAGCTGCTCGCCTACAGGCAGCACAAACTCTTGAAATTCTTGACACCTATAAAAAAAAGATAAGTGAACTTGAATTTAATGAAAAACCATCTACAACTATTTTATGCAATAGAAATATATTTCTTATAATAATAATAATAAATCATTTATCTGACAAGATATGGTAAATTAACTATACAGATCTCAAAAATATAACCAACATGACCTGTCGCTTTTATCAACGTGCAAATATTTATAGGTAGTTGCAGTATTATCCACAACTCAATCTTTAAAAATTATATATATTATTTATATACCTTTGTCATGATTGAGTTAGTTATTATATAATCAATTTCATTAATATACTACATGACAATTGTGCAATGTAAAAAATAAATGTCAAAGTCATGTTTCAGTTAGTATTGAAATCAATTTAAATAAATTATTATTAATATAACATTTCAATCATGCAATGCAAAAATAATAATAATGTCACAGTCATGTTTTAATTAGCATTGAAATCAATTTTAATAATTTATTATTGATAATAATATCTTATACCATACCTGATGTGCTGGAGTCCATCTAAGAATAATATTTCTTTCTGGACAGTGTAGTGAAACCCTGTACGATCGACTTCTTAATATGGATTTTCCACAACCAAAACAGACTTGTTGATGGCCATATTGTGGTGCAGGTACTTCTTCGGTGGTGTCACTAGGTTGTAGTAGCATAAAGCATTCGTTGTACACTATGCCCCCATTCAATATCTATAACAAGTCAAAAATATTTATATTTATTTGAACATGTGAATGAAATTAAAACATTATCTCACGGTTGCGATTGTATAACGATATATTTTTAGTAATATAAGTAAATAATTACTTACAGAATCAGGTGCGATCCATGAGCTTAAAACATTAAGCGTTGAATTGGATAGCATGTCCAAAGAATGTACTGGCTGTCGTCGTGGCACTGATATTACAACAGTTAATACAACGTCGTTGCATACTGCCTGCGTTTTCTTGTGTAACATCAGATGCCATTGTAAACAAAAATAATTACAATAAACTAAGAGTCCAAATATCTCGGTCAGAATCACTAATGGTAACTTAACACTAAATCAACGAGTCCAATGCTCTCTTTCCCAAAAAAACAGTTATTAACGGAGGATTACTCAACTCAACATTAAAACTATTCTGCCACAATAGACCACTGAAAACACAAATTCAATTCAAAATTGAAAACTGTACTTAGTAGTTAGTCACTCGGAACAAACAACAAACACGTTGACAACAAGTTGACAGCTACCTACTTCACTTGCCTATGGTATATATTTCGATTTGATTCTATAGGAATCGATACCTACACAATCGATTAATAAATGTTTTATTTTTCAATGCAAATGCTTAAAATGTTCAAACCATGAGTTAATTTATATATGATTAAGTAATTATATATAACATAACTGATAATTTCAACAAAAATATATTCCCTTTTTTAATCTAAGATGTGAATATGTAGTACACATATAAAAGTTTTTGTATGCGATCTACTGTTTGATGAACAAAATAGTCCGCAGACAAGAAATCCTCTTTTGCGCAGCCCATTAAGTTCCTTTTAGTTTTTAGATGCAATGAAAGAGAGCAATCCCTGGTAGGTACAGTGAGATAGTCACAACACAGGTCTTACAAATGATAACTTTATGAATTTAATGTTATTTATCATGATATAATATTGGTAAAAATGCTCGTATCCATCATACAAACATTTGCCTCACCGGAATTCGAAACCAGGCCCTCTGAATAGGCGATTTGGGGAAAATAATCTATCCATCGATCCATACAAAAATCAAACAACTCGCATCGAAGACCTCAAAATAAAAAATGACTATGAATTAACGAATGATCATTATTTCGTAGTCATTTACGGTGTTTGGTAAAAATGTTTCAGGCTATTTACAATTGTTCTATGCTTTCAATTATAATAAACGTTTTATTTTTTCTTTTTGAAGTGAAACTTCTTTACGCACTCTTGACTTGGGGAGTAAGCTAGCGAACGTAAGCGTTAAGAAAAGTGTGATCGGGCGAGGCGAACGGGAGTTGAGTGGGGGATGTAAGCATGAGAAAGCAGTGCGCGTGCACATTTTCTTTCTCTCTTCCTCTCATAGCCAAATACGTTCCTTATATCTAAGCACAGTGCAAGCCTTTTGTCTGTATCACAGTGTAGGAGCAAGAGCGCGCGCACGCATTTTCTTTCTCTTTTTCTCTTACAGCTAGTAAATGAAAGAAGTTTCACTTCAGTTGTGTAGTCATAAGCACACTCGTTTTTTTATGTTAAGAATATTTAAATAAAGAAATATAATCGATTTTTTTTCCTACGATAGTATCGACCAGATGATACAACTTTTATCTATGGTTATTGGTTATTTACTCAGTTTAATAGCCATTTATTTATTATTTTAAATATCCGCATAATATTTACATAATAATTTTTGATACATAAATGCGTCAAGCGCAATCTAGGCGGATTTGCCCATTCTCCTTTAAAGTAAATCCATGCAGTACTTTTTGAGTTTATCCCGGACATACATACAGACAAACAGACAAAATTCTAAAAACTATTATTTTTGGCTTCGGTATTGATGGTAGATCATACCCCAAGTATTCTTTTAAAAAAATATTTAATGAAACTAAAAAGAAAGTCAAAACTGTTGACTTTCCTAATATTTTATTATGTATAGATATTAGTTCATTGTTTGTTATTCACAAGTAGGGAATCGCAGAGTGACACTTGTGTATAAAACACAAAAATGCAAATAACAATAAAAATACATACCAAGAGTCTGCACAAGTACAAAACATCAATTTATTAATGATCCTGCGGATGGGGCCCTTAGCAGAAGAAAGATTAAATGAAATTTTTGGAGGTTATGGCTGCATCTCATTAGGTGATCGCCATAGCCAACTATATGGGCTCGTTTGTGTTTATTTGTAGTACGATATAAAACAAAGTAGCAAATGTGAAGTTAGCGCAAGTTGCAGCGCAGTAAACGAAGTTTAGGCGCGCGCGGGTTTCACTCTACATAGAGAATGGACTGAGTGATTCTTCCTAAGCCAGCTGTTAGATAAATGGAAACGTGAACTCTACTGGTCGGTAGTGTTTATAACATTTTGGAAGGCACAAAAGCTCAGGGTAGCTTCACACATAATCGGGCCGGCATAGTCGGTTCGGCAGTATTTGCCGAATAACAAGACCGACGAGTAATAACTGCCGAGCATTCATCTACACATTATTCGATTTTACCGTCCGGCTGTGCCGATTAATTCCTGTCCGCTTATATGTGTAGCTACCCTCGGTGATAAGCAACCTGTGTCCAATGAGGTCCCCTTTAACTGAACACCAAATTCCATCATAATCTGTAAGAAAGTGTTAAAAGCTGCTTTTTTTTAAATTTCTAATATCAGTATGTATTCAAGCTAAACAATACATTCGTGATACAGCCAGGACCAACACTTTAAATTGTGATGCGGAACTGAGAAGTGCTTTATAAGATATTTTTTCAACGGATCAACCATTGCAGAAATTTCTTAACTTTCACAATCGTAACCAAATACGCACACTTTGATCTATCGCAAGTGTTATCAATCGACTGGCGGTAATAACAGATGTGCTATATTATATGCGGCGGAAGTAACATTGTGCATTTTATTAATGAGTGCGCAAATGTCTAAAGCGTCGCTACATATGATTAAAAGCTATTTTCAGCCGTACTCAAGGACATCAAATATGCAATGTAATTTAATCACATGTAGACTTTATTGTAACAGTAGTAAATATCAGAGCATCAGAGATGTGCTGCTGTTTGACTCTTCATTTAAACGAATACATCATATACAATTTTGTAAAGTAGCCACTGATGTGATTTTGTCAGCCCTCTGTAAAAATGTGTGTTTACAGATATTTTGCTTTTTTGAACAAGCATGATTTTGTCCCCAAATATTGCCAAAAAACTAAGTTTCTATTGGGGTCCAAAATGAAATTTAACCCTTTGTTTTCAGAGAGTCTTACAACAATATTTGGTGAGAAGTTGCGCCAACAGGTAGAGGACCGTCTCAAATTCTACGAGACAGGTGACATTCCTAAGAAGAACATAGAAGTAATGAAGGAGGCAATGGAAGAAGCCAACCAGGCGGCTGAGGAAGCCGCCGCCAGTGCCAAGAAGAAGAAAAAGAAGAAGAAGAAGAAGGAACAGGAAGCCATGGACGAAGACTAGGTGTTACATACAAAGTCTATGTTTCTATATTGAAATAAAATTTTCTCTATGCAAATTTGAAGGCGTTTTTATTTATTATTTTGCTTGCTTGCAGTATTATTCAAGGTGGAGTTTACTTCCTTATATCATAAGGTTAGACGAGATAAATGAACACGAAAGTCTTCTGTAATAAGCTTTTAATTTTATAAGAAAATATTGTATGCTTTAATTTTTTAATGGATACAAAACACATTTTTTTTACCGATCATTAACATATTGCTAAGACTTATTTATATTTCAATATATCTATTAGGAATTCTTACCATACATTAATTCAATTGTATTCATTGCAGCAGCTAAGCAGAGTGGAGATGTACTAATGATTAAATCCTATTGGTTGGTAAAAAAACATCTCTTTTTTCATCTCTCTCTCTCTCTCTCTTATAGTAAGTAAATAAATCTCATAATAGGATAGGTTGACGGCCTAGAAGCTGTTGATAGAAAGGTTTTTGTATGATGAAGTACTTGATTACGTTAGTAAGGTATGGCGATGAGTGGCGTTCATGCCTCTCAATTTTTATCTTAAACTAATTCTTAATAGGATAGGTATATTTCCTAGCAGCTGCTGCTTGATAGTAAGGGAGTTTATCTTGACGTTGATATTGACCGCTGCCAGTTGTGTGACGAAGAATTTGAAGATGTAAGGTATAGCGATGGTGACCAACTCACCGTCGCCGCACAGGCGGCAAGTGTCCGTAGACTTGTAGTTGCCAGTGCGCCCGATGATTGGGCCCAGTAATGTCCCGCATTTTGCACATAAAACAGCCTACATAGGATAGGTATGTTTCCTAGCAGCTGCTGTTGATAGCGAGGGAGTTTATCTTGACGTTGATATTGACCGCTGCCAGTTGTGTGACGAAGAACTTGAAGATGTAAGGTATGGCGATGGTGACCAACTCGCCGTCGCCGCACAGGCGGCAAGTGTCCGTCGACTTCTTGTCGCCAGTGCGCCCGATGATTGGGCCCAGTAATGTCCCGCATTTTGAACATATAACAGCCTGTAGGGAAATTTTTGCGTATAAATAATGAAAATTGTACTAGTAATTAATTCTAGTTGCTCATGCACGTCGATTCTGTAACAAGCAATCTCACTTTCGATTTCGTTACTCTAATTAGGAAATTATCGACAATTGCCTCTAAATCTATAAATTACTGACTGCTTTAACAGTCTTTGCATTGTAATGACGTAATGCATATTTGTCTAAAGTCTAACATTGACGCTCTGAAGTTAGATTTCTGTTTTACAGAATCGCTGCTCTACAGGATCAGGGTGAAAACCATTCTCCGGTACTAACCTGTACTCGTTTTCATTCTGTATAGAGAAATGATAAGGATACACTTAGCTTTTAGAGAATCGTGCCAAAATCGAAACATTAGTGTAATTTTTATCTAGGAAAATATCTTCAAACTTTGCCCCGGCACGTTGTTCAGATAATTCACCCAATTCCCGTCTCAGGCCGTATACAGGAAGAAAGCCGAAAGCCGATCGGCGCCGATCCTTCCTACATAAAGGAAGCCGATTAAAGTAGATCAAGCAAAATGTCGGACTCATCGGACGATGATTTGGTTTTGTTAGAAAATGTTTATTTAAAAATGCGAAAAACAGCTATACATCCTATAAATAGAGAAAGGAAACGTTTCGGAGAATACCATCATTTATTTGTTAAAAAAAATTAAATTTGATGAACAAAGATTTTATACATATACAAGAATGATTCAATAAACATTTTATTACATTTTGGATTTAGTGAAAAACCGTTTGATGAAAAATTGGGGCAATTGGCATAAACAACCAATCCTTCCAGAAGAAAGACTTGTTGTCACCATTCGGTAAGTACGAAACAAATAATTTTAGCGCTTAGTTAATAAAAGATAAAGTTATTAGATTTATAAAAAGATTATAACTTAGATTGATTTAATCTAAGGATAATAATTCAAATACAAATTATTTATTATTCGGACCAGCGCGTGTCGGCGCTTATCGGCGCCGACAGGCACCGATCGGCGCTGGTCCATAGAAAAAGGATCAGCGCCAATAGGCGCCGATAAGCGCTTTCGGCTTTCTTTCTGTATACGGCCTCACTCACCTCGCACTTGTCGGAGCAGTGGAATAGCCGATCCTGCAGTATGAAGGCGGCGCCGTGAGACAGCAGTGCGTCTCTTTCCATCTCGCCTAATCTTACACCACCACCGCGTCGACGACCTTTCACCGGTTGACGAGTTAAAGCGTCCACTACGCCTGTAGTTCGCACCTGGGGACGACGAAGTACTCGATAAAATAACTTGACTGAACCAGAGTTGTCGACATAGCCCACCGGATTAGCAAGTTGAAGTGGCACTGGGCTGGCTATATTTGCCGAAGAACCGATAACCGTTGGATTAGGCGAGTTCTGGAGTGTAGACCGTGTCTAGGCAAACGTAATGTAGGACGTCTTCAGGCAGGGTGGAGTGACGATTTGGGCAAGGTGGCTGGCAGGAGCTGGGATACGAGTAGCCCAAGATCGATCTGAGTGGCGTGCAATTGGAGAGGCCTATGTTCAGCACATGGACTAGGTTGGGTTGATTGATTGATTGAAGGTTTCATAGGTTAATTAAGTTCATCATCGACTTATAAATTTCTCCATGGCTTATGATGGGATAAAGAGATTGAGCCTTGACCCACTACGCAGATCCAGTTCGAATCGGTGGATACTAATGGGCTGCAACGCTTACTATTTATAACTTATTGCGTAAACCATAGCCACAAATTCTCGAAAATATCCATCACTTATCAGAAGCCATGAGGCACTGATAATATCAGTACCGGCTCACTAAGTGGTGTAAGTTTCAACGGTCTGTAGCAAAATATATGTTTATAGTTAAACAATATTTTTTTTAAAACACACCAAAGTATGGTTAGTATAACAGCTTCAAAACTGCGTAGCTAATAACTTTTTGCTCAATGTAACATTTATTTTTAGTTAGGGATCATCAAAACTTAAAATGCTGGGTGGGCCGATATATGTGTCCGAAAGTGTAAAAGAAGCCTACCGGTTTTATCTTTTCTCGAATACTTTGTAACTTCATCATCATCAACATCAGCTTATTAATTTCCCCACTGCAGGGGCACAGGCCTTCCCTGTGGATGGAAAGAGGAGATTGGGCCATGACCCACCACGCGGGCGCAGTGCAGATTGGCGGGTGCTAACGACTGCAGATGCAACCGGGACCAACGGTTTAACATGCCTTTCGAAGCACGGAGGAACTCGAGATCTTCTATCTCGAGTTTTGGTCACTCATCCAATGACCGACCACTGTAAAAGTTGTTTAACATCAACGATCACGGTCGAACGCGCTAACCACCTTCGCCATCGAGCTACTAAATAAATAAATAAATAATAAATATAAATATTTCCAACACTCACACCAATTAGCCTAGCCCCAAAGTAAGCACTGTAAGGCTTGTGTTATGGGATACTAGGGTAACGGATAGAATACATATACTTTACATATATAAGTATATTTATATGGAAATACATATTAAACATCCATGGCTGGAGTACAAATGCTCGTGTTCATCACACAAACATCTGCCCCCACCGGGATTCGAACCCGGGACCTCTCGAGTCGGCGACGCCATGAAACCCGGCGTACAAACCACTCGTCCACGGAGGTCGTCTGCTTGATTGATAACTTTTTATAAGTTACAATGCGAGGAACTGTGTAACTTATAAAAAGTTATCGTTTAGTCTATGCCTTACCTGCCACTTATCGGAGACCATATGCCTAAGCCGCTGATAGTGTATTACGCCGTAGAATATGTCCGCGGTCATCTCTCTACCGTCCACGCCGCTGTACATTCTCTCTGTGCCGTAGTAATTGTACCCGCCTGCTTCTAGTAACCGCCCAAAATAGTTTATGGCCGTGTCTTTCTCGTTGAAACGGAACGGAGATGCGTCGTGCACCTGGGTATTTGGAAAAAGAGAATAACATTTAATCTTTAATTCTGTAACGCTCGCAGTCTGCGTTCGTGATGTGGCAGTGAGAAAGATTGATCCTCAAAACAAGTAGTAATGTAATGATGCTTAAGCGTACATTTCCGCATAGACCATACGTATTACCCAACCAAAAAGTATTATTGGCGTGTTGGCAGGTTTTATTTGACATTACATCGCTTTTTGATTCGGTATCGTAAATGAAACTAGAGTCTGTCTAACGAAAGCTTGATCTGGAATTTTCTTAAAAGTTTGAATATGGCAACATTATTAAGCTGTTACTAACTGGTATGTACCTGTTTCGGTTCAGTGTTTTAACGTGTTTGTTCTATTCAAAAAGTTGTGTTATTTTGTCATCAAACTGCTTAGGTACCTACCCACTTCATTAATATGCATGTGTACTTTGTTTTGCAGATGTTGGTATCACGACACTAAAGAAAATTAAAAAGGAAGTATCTGTGAATGTAGGAATGTGGAGCACTCCAGGAAAAAAAGGCCCCATAAAAGCACAGTGTCAGATTTAGCTAGTTTTGATATTGGTGCAATAAGATACAAAATCAATGAATTTTATGTTGTGAGAAAGGAAGTCCCAACATTGCGAACATTGTTAGAAGAATTACGTTCTAGCATTGGATTTAGTGGAAGCAGAGAAAATCTGCGTAAAATATAAATAATCAAAGGTCACTATTTAGTTATTGTTACTGTAACATATAAGATATAATAGACATCAATATCTGCCCGACACACGGACCTTACACGCTGCGCATGCACCCACCCCGCGCGTACTTCGCTTGATAGACAGCGTGCTCGCTCAGTGCGACCAAATAGATGTATATGCCGACCATTTCGAACATATTATTAAAGAAGGTTGTAAATGCCTAGTTAGTAAATATTGACATTGGACTAAATTCAATTAATTTTATTGTATTTATTTTTGATTTTATTCTTATGTATAATTTGTTTTTGATTTATAATATTAATGAATGTGACCTGCTGATGCGTTAGTTTCAATTAATGTTATTGTATTTATTGTAATGTATAATTTGTATTTTATTTATAAATTGAATTAATGTGACCTGCTGATGCGTTGGAACTAGTTCTGTAAATCAGCATGTTTATTGAATAAATAAATAAATATGGATGGAGACCTTTTTTTTACTTTATTTTTATACATGTCGGTCCCGTCGTGACAGTAAGATATAAATAAATAAAAAATGGGTGCGTGTACTTATGTAGGCGCGTGAGAAGTTATCCTTCTTTGGCATCGTTTAAAATTAGTTTTTAATTGCATGCAAATAATTAATAACAATAAATTAATAAAAAGTCTGGAAAAGGACACAGTCAATAAAGTTCAGTTTTAATTTGAAAAAATAAATAAATAATCAAAATATTCAAATAAAATCGCTACTGAATATAATTTATTAGAACATATGTGATTTGCACTTGTATGAAACTCAAACACGTATTCCGAATATACAAACTAGAAACATGTGGATAAATATTATAAATATGAATGCCTATAACTGTTACTTTATTACAAAAAATAAAGATGTGTTTTTTGGTTCTACTACACCAATGGTCAAGAGATGGCGCTGTAGTCTCCTGAATCGCGCTTTGGTTCCGTTGTTCCAGATTAATAAATACTTTTGATAGGCCTTCACAATGCAGTCGTTAGCACCCACAAAATAGAGATTCTATTTCTATTTTGTTGGTAGATTTTCTTAATGTGCGGTAAACACAAAAGTAACAGCATGAAGTTGGTCGCTTTAGCGATTTTTTGTGTTACAGTGGTGCGCGCGCATCTTAAAATTTCACTCTCACAATTTTTTCATAACGCGCCTAAAGAAGTATAACTTCAAAAAATATCACTAACTTATCTAATTCAACTTCTTGCTGCGCATTTGAAGAAACTCAACATAGCGTATTTGTTTCTGGGCTCTGAAAGTAAGCAATGGAATATCCCAATAATTTGACACCGAGTGTAGGTATCGAGTTTCATGTCTTTTCGGTGGGTTGAGACATTTGCCTAATTAAAAATAATATAAACAATTGTTTAACTCAAGTGTCCATGTAAACTAGCAGCCTTCCCGGCCATGCACTCGATCGATCGGCTATGGTCTTCAGAGACATGAAGCCGTGCGGGTTAAACAGGATGTCCACAGGATAGATAGACTTTTTATTACTTTTACATTAGTCTTGAAGTTTCGTTACTTTTCCTGGCTCCGAGCCGCAAGCTGCTAGAAGATATATATAAAATAAACTTTCACTCACGTGTCCATGTAAACTAGCAGCCTTCCCGGCCATGCACTCGATCATCATGGCTATGGTCATCCGAGACGGAAAGCCGTGCGGGTTGAACAATATATCCGGTATAAGCCCAGACTCTGTGAACGGGAGATCTTCGGCTGCCCAGCGTTGGGAACAGATGCCCTTCTGGCCGGCCCGGGACGCAAACTTGTCGCCCACTGTTGGGTACCGCTGTGAACGAAAGCATTTTATAACTACTACTTGTTTAAATCTAAAGAAAAGTTTACTAGAAAAAATTCCACGCGGACCAGGCACCAGACGGGACTCGAACCCGCACCCTTCGCTATCCGGGCGAATGCACTGACCATTATGCTACCGCGGCCATGACGGCCGCGTCGAATTTTCTCTAACCTTAGGCTGCAAGGCTGCGCCATTTCTTGCATTGTAAGTACTAGGTACTTGTTTGTTGTTTTGAAACTGTTCAGTGTTGACCTGGAGCCCAGTTCCCACCGCGTGTTTTGCCCTACACAATCAACAAAGACATATGAACATTCAACAAAATCGTCTACACAAATCTTTGTTTCACTACACATATTTGTTTGCATCAACAAAGTTTTTCATTTCCGAGACCAATGGCTTGAGCTTTTATTTAAAACATGGGAAACTCACTGGCTACAGACTAAGAATCGTGTTGGTAAATACTACTTCGATATACAGCAGAATATTCCATCCAAACCATGGTTTTTCAAGATGAAAAATCTTAATAAAAAAAAAGTGGTCTCTACAATTTGTAGATTAAGGATAGGTCATGCCACTATAGTCCAGTCAACGAAGGCTTAACTTTGCCATTTTGAGTTGATCACCTGCAACCAACGCGAAAATTTCCGTAAGGGTTCCTAGTTTAATATACTAAAATTGCAGGGTTTTCAATTGCGAAATTGTGCAAAAACGAGTTTTTCGTCAATATCTCGCGACTGGTTGAGAAAATAGAAAAAGTTCCTAGTACAAAGTTGTAGAAAATTTTATTTCCTACAAAAAGGTATCAACGTATTTTCGTGTATCTTTCATAGTTTTTGCACAAAATGCAATTAAAGGTGTAAAATAAAAAAATAAAATATATTGTTAATCGTTTTTTTTTTTCATTTTAAAAGGATCCTACGGGTCAAATTCAACAATCACCACTTACTGAAATAATTAAGGATAAGTTTTCGGGAATCCACTGAAATGAAAAGTGTCTACCGAAATGGTAAAAAATGACCACCGAAATGATACAGCCAAGAACATCGCCTTTGTAATAGAAGGGTCCCTACTTTGAATCTAAATGAATTTCCTTATTCTTTGTAAATAGTTTTGTTCGTTATTTTATAATAAGAATTATTAATTAAGAATTAATTAATTGTTACTCCTATTAATTATTATTACTAATTATAATTATTGATAAGTACAATTTCAAAACAACGAATAATGTGCGTTTTGAAAGCGAGAAGTTTATTAGTTAGTAAATCGTCCCCTTAGTGCCAAAACCGATTATCTGCACTTTTCCCCTACTGAACTTTTATAATACCATCTGACCCGTCTCATTAACCTGCATCTACAGGTAAAACCCATTATGCTCTACGACGCATACTTCCTGAAATAACTAATGAATAAACAGAATAACTGCAAATTATTTACAAAACTCTTGATTTAAAACCTAATAAACCCATTCAAAACACTGAAGTTTGTAAATGTATTACCGTTGAAACCAAGTTTCGGATTTAAACTCATTTTTCATGTAGAGTAAATATCCTGTGAGATTATTCCGCTAAAATTAGGTCTCTCACGGTAATTGGCTTTGACTGTTTGAATTTTACCAGATATTTTGATTTTAATAGATGAAGTAAAAACTAACAAATCTGTCGCTTTTTGCAAAAAAAAATATATATAGTATATTTGCGTTATATTTGAGGCACGTAAAAGAAGATACCGAATTTCAATTTGTTTTTACTGAATAACTTTTATTCGACGCTATATAAATTACTTCAGCTAAAATCGATTATCGGTGCTTACTCTTTTCTTCCACAGTAATTTATTAGCATTAATCATCGTTACTTACAATTTATGCTACAGCTAAAACCAGCTATCCATGTTTAACCGTCTCCTCCGTACACAGGTCGCCTGCTAGAGAGTGAGTTGCTCACTTATTTTTCTTTTATTTTGGCAACAGTCATTTATTTTTACAAAAGTAACGTATGTTAAACATTTTTTTAATGAAATAGGCCTAACAGTGCCTAAACACAATATTAAAACAGTTCTGAAGTTAGGACATAATCAGCTAATGAAAATCCAAAATTAAACCATTACAGTACGCTATTGTATGACGAAATATTTATATCATATGCATATACATATATATGTGGCTGTGTACACACAGATATACATACGCACTTAATTTTTTTTTCAAGCCTCTCCTGAAAGTTTTACAGTAAGTTTTCTTTTAAATGTAGCAAGAGACATATTAAAGAGATAAAATTCAGAGAATTCCTCGTTGTACATGTTGGTGGAACGATAAAACAAAGTGTTTCTCGTATATATTTTTTGACGTTTCAGTGGAACAAACAGCGGTAGTGTGCGTGAGGAGCGCATGGGAAGTCGAACTTGACATGAAAAATCGAATATTTTCAAGGAGTGCGGACGAATCTATAAGCTAGTTCAGTATTTTATAAAGAAAAGTAATGTCACAGATTTTTAGGCGATTACGCAGTGTGGTCATCATATAGAGTTCTAAGGATATTTCGTATGTATCATTTACAAAATTATTACGATAATTTAGAGATTTTAAGAACTTTTTTTGAACTCTTTCAAGTCTGTTGATGTGGACATTATAACAAGGGTTCCAAACAGTGCTACCAAACTCAAGAACAGAGCGAACAAGGGCACTTTTATTCATTCATTGTTGAATCGCACGCTGGGCAACACTGTTATTCTTATGTTTAAACAATCACTACTAAACATTACTGCGTGAACTATTTTGTGTATTTGGATTAAAATGATAACTAACTACTAAGAAAGATGACGAAAAATAAACGATAAAAAAAATCCAATTTAATTTTAACATTTAGTTTTCTTTCATCGTGTCTAGCGCAAAATTTGCGTTGTCAAATATATGTTATATTTGCAATATATATTATCATTATTATATAATATAATTGAAATCATTTTTTTGTCAAGATTATATAAGTAGGAAAAAAGGAAATAATATATAGAAAATGCCCAAAACATATTAATTAAATCCCAATGAAGCATGTAGGGGTGAACTCCACAAGCAAAAAAAAAATACACGGCATTGTTCAGAGCGGCAGTGCAAAGTGCTGATTCAACCTTGTCAAAAAGAATTATTGAGTAATGGGCTCTATTCCATAAAATAAAAAAAAACGAAGTGGCATTTTATCATTACGGCGACTTGTCCTAAACCCAATTCCTCTCGTAAAATTACTTCCCCTGTAGTAACATTTAGTTTTTGGTTTGAAATTAACTTTTATATCAATAATATATAATATAGCCTATCAACAAAAACTACTATTGTTTATTTACCTTCTTTCTTATACATGTAACAAGCACTCAACTTTTGTCCTGGAAAGAGTTATCATTTTCATGGACAGTAAGTTTTTGTGAAATAGGTTCGTCTACATTGCGTTTTTGTGTTCCGCTTGTCAGTACTTATTTCGAGCCAGTCAGCCAGTTTGTTTCTGTAGCCAAAGATCTGTATAATCCATGGTACTTCTCTGGTATGACATCTTTGTTGCAAAAAACACCGAGATCTTTTTTCTTTGCTATAGATCTTTTTTTTATAAAAAGGTTCGACAAATGACTCCACCAGAGGTTAAGTGATGGAGGATTCTAGACGCGAAGATAGCTGGTAGAGCAGTTTTACTTGCCACACCAGCTTTCCTCACTTTGACAGCCTGCAGAATCGCTACTTCACACACGTGAGCGGGCAAAGTAATCCATTTGCGGATAGTCTGACAAAGAAATGAGTTACCAAATTTCTTTGTTCACGTTGGAATAGTGGGAATAGTAGTTCACAATAAGTCGGTGATAACGTAAGCCAGCGCGTGTACACTTCTGTAGGAAAAGGGAAGGTAAGTTAAGGGACAATAACTCCTCAGAACATGCGCCATGGTATAGACGATAAAATGCGCTTAATAACGCCACGTCACGGCGTCATTGAAGAGGCTCGAGGTGTTTAGTCACCTTCTTATCGCTAATAATGCGGATCGCGCGCCACTTTAACCTTTCCAAAGCATCAAAAAAGTACTTGGCGGAGTCACCCTCTGGGGCGCGAACAATATTCCATGCAAGACCGTTCTTGCGTCTTGTACAACAAGCACAGTTGCTCAGGTCTGAAAAAACGTTAGTTTTACCGTGAAAGCGCAGACCTGGGCTTTCTTGGCATTGAACTCAACCAAGTTCTTTGTACCGCATTCGGAAATGAGGTCCAAATCTTGATTGAGTTCAATGACAAGCTTCTCCCGTTTTTCTTTGGTTTCTACCTGTCCAGCCGGTGCGTATCCAAAATATCCCGCATGCACTGTATTAACGTCTGCATAGCAATGAATATTCTTAAGAGGAATTAAATCAATAATATGCAGCTAAAAGAGTGTAAGGGATAGGACGGAGCCCTGAGGAACACCGGCATTCACTGACATGAACTGCGAACTACATCCGTCGCCGTCCGTCGACGCTTATGCAGGAAGACAGGCACAGAATTGAGCAGGCAGACCGTATCCAGGAAGATTGGAGAGAAGACTTATGTGCCAGACTATCAAAGCCTTGGCGATGTTAAGGCTGATAGCCAAAGACTCACCTCGCTTGTCGATCGATTCGGTCTAAATCCGTATTGACGATCGTTGATCAGAGTGTTTTTCTAGGTCAGATGGTTATTAAGGACTCTTTCTAAGACTTTGCACAATACTGAGGTGACAGCTATTGGCTGATAGTTAATCGGGTAAGACCACGTGACTTAGTTATTTGGCATTTTTCGTCATCTTTCTTAGCATTTATCATTTTAAACCAAAAACGCAGAATAGTTCACCCAGTAATATTTATTAGTGATTAATTCAACAAAGGAATAACAGTGCTGCCCAACGCGCGATTCAACAATAAATGAATAAAAATGAGCAACTCACTCGCTAGCGCGCTATCTGTGTACGGAAGAGACGTCTAAATATGGAAAGCTGGTTTTAGCTGAAGCATAAATTTTAAGTAACGATGACTAATGCTAATAAATTACAATGGAAGAAAAGAGTAAGCACCGATAATCGATTTTAGTTGAAGTAATTTATAAAGAGTCGAATAAAAGTTATTCAGTAAAAACAAATTGAAATTCGGTGTCTTCTTTTACTTGCCTCAAATATAACGCAAATATACTATATATATATATATATATTTGCAAAAAGCGACAGATTTGTTAGTTTTTACTTCATCTAGTAAAATCAAAATATGTGGTAAAATTCAAACAGTCAAAGCCTATTACCGTGAGATACCTAATTTTAGCGGAATAATCTCATAGGATATTTACTCTACATGAAAAATGAAGTTAAATCCGAAACTTGGTTTCAACGGTAATACATTTACAAACTTAAGTGTTTTGAATGGGTTTATTAGGTTTTAAATCAAGACTTTTGGAAAATTTTGTAGTTATTCTGTTTATTCATTAGCTATTTCAGGAAGTATGCGTCGTAGAGCATAATAGGTTTTACCTGTGGATGCAGCTTAATGAGACGGGTCTTTTGGTAATATAAAAGCTCAGTAGGGGAAAAGTGCAGATAATCGGTTTTGGCACTAAGGGGACGATTTACTAACTAATAAACTTCTCGCTTTCTAAACGCACATTGTTCGTTGTTTTGAAATTGTACTTATCAATAATTATAATTAGTAATAATAATTAATAGGAGTAACAATTAATTAATTCTTATTATAAAATAACGAACAAAATTATTCACAAAGAATAAGGAAATTTATTTAGATTCAAAGTAGGGAACCCTTCTATTACAAAGGCGATGTTTTTGGCTGTATCATTTCGGTGGTAATTTTTTACCATTTCGGTGGATCCCCGATAACTTATCCTTAAATATTTCAGTAAGTGGTGATTGTTGAATTTGACCCGTAGGATCGTATAAAATTAAAAAAAAAACGATTTACAATATAACTTATTTTACACCTTTAATTGAATTTTGTGCAAAAACTATGGAAGATACGTGAAAATTGTTGATACCTTTTTTGTAGGAAATACAATTTTCTACAACTTTGTACTAGGAACCTTTTCTATTTTCTCAGCCAGTCGCGAGATATTGACGAAATACTCGTTTTTGCACCATTTCGGACTTTTTTTGCTCCCTTTGCCGTCAATGCAGCACCCTGCAATTTTAGTATATTAAAGTACGAACCCTTACGGAAATTTTCGCGTTGGTTGCAGGTGATCAACTCAAAATGGCAAAGTTAAGCTTTCATTGACTGGACTACTACCCCTGTTCACTTGGCTAGGTTAAAAATACGGGATAGCCCCACATGCAATTGTGGAACCGAGGATGGTACAGTGGATCATCTTTTCATTAACTGCCCCAAATTAAACATGTCTCTCTATGGCATTTTACCTCCCACTATTCCTCGTCCTATAAGCACGAAAGTCCTACTATGTTTATGTGATTACTCAACCCTCAAGCTCTTGTCCAAATTTACTTCCCATAACAAACTAAGATTATGACAAAGCTCCTCGCTTTACTTGTTTTATGTTTTTGTTGTCCTGATTGTGACGTTTTGTGACGGTACAGGTAAAAGTGCTTATAAAATAACCAAAATTCTGATTTTTAACTGTCATTCCTTTACGTGTAATGGCTGATCACTTGACATTGGCGGAGCTGTGATAAGTCACAACGCAAGCCATCATAAAATAAGAAGAAGTAGTTTTTGAACACAGCCCTGTGATTTTGTTTACGACAGTCACGTGAGCAGTAGACTGCGTGTGTAGAGAAACATGTTTTAGAAACAATGTATTGTATATGTGTTTATGTTGAATGTTTTCTAAAAACTTTTGTTGGAGATCCGGCTATATAAAAATAAAGCCACGGTAATTTTTTCAACTGCCAACACTATAGGGTTTTTGATTTTAAATGTTATCGTCGTTATTCGTCTGTCGTAAGAGAGCACGGTTTATAGAAGTCTAGTTTTTGCACCGTATCCGAAGTAATAAAAGCAACCAACTATTTAGTACCGTTATTTGATAATTCTAAATAAATATAAAGTGAATGTTCCAAGGTATGAAATCAGAGTGCATCCTAGGTTAGTGCTAAAAGCCGGTTTGGATGCTAAGCTGTTGCTCCAAATAAGACGGTAATCTTTAGCACAAACTGTTAGGCATCTTACATTTCCAAAAAAGAATTCACAGGGAATTAGCTAATTTCAATTTCACATACTGTCCACTTAGTCAAGTACTTTCAAAATTTTCGGTGCTTAATTTCACAATAGCAATTTACTATAACAACTGAAACCTACGTGGCCGAGTAGTTTGTACGCTGGGTTTTATGGTGTCGCCGACTCGAGAGGTCCCGGGTTCGAATCCCAGTGGGGGCAGATGTGTGTATGATGAATACGAGCATTTGTACTCCAGAATGGATGTTTAATATGTATTTCTATATAAATATACTTATATATGTACGCGATATGTATTCTAACCGTTACCCTAGTATCCCATAACACAAGCCTTATAGTGCTTACTTTGGGGCTAGGCTAATTGATGTGTGTTGTAAAAAAAAACAAGTTATCAGCAGTCTCATCATGATGCACGCCTTGGTGGGCGTCTTGTAGGTAAAGTTCCCGCAAAATCACACGCTGTCCGCGAATATCTCCCACTTGACGTGGTAGCGGGACACAGAGTACTGACTCTTCTCGCCGTCGAAGAAACTGTCACAATATGATCATTCAAACCAAGTTACCAGCAGTCTCGATGTCGACGAACACCTCCCCCTTGCCGTGGTAGCGAGACACAGAGTACTGACTCTACTCGCCGCCGAAAAAACTGACAAAATATATATCATTGAAACCAAGTTACCAGCAGTCTCGATGTCGACGAACACCTCCCCCTTGCCCTGGTAGCGGGACACAGAGTACTGACTCTACTCGCCGTCGAAGAAACTAACACAATCTATGATCATTGAAACCACGTTACCAGCAGTCACGATGTCCACTAACACCTTCCCCTTATTGTGGTGCCAGGCCACCCGAGTACTGGCTCTTCTCGTCATTGAAGAAACTGACACAATATATATCATTGAAACCAAGTTAACAGTAGTCTCGATGTCGACAAACACCTCCCCCTTGCCGTGGTAGCGGGACACAGAGTACTGACTCTACTCGCCGTCGAAGAAACTAACACTTTCTATGATCATTGAAACCACGTTACCAGCAGTCACGATGTCCACTAACACCTTCCCCTTATTGTGGTGCCAGGCCACCCGAGTACTGACTCTTCTCGTCGTTGAAGAAACTGATACAATATTTATCATTGAAACCAAGTTAACAGTAGTCTCGATGTCGACAAACACCTCCCCCTTGCCGTGGTAGCGGGACACAGAGTACTGACTCTACTCGCCGTCGAAGAAACTAACACTTTCTATGATCATTGAAACCACGTTACCAGCAGTTACGATGTCGACTAACACCTTCCCCTTATTGTGGTGCCAGGCCACCCGAGTACCGACTCTTCTCGTCGTTGAAGAAACTGACACAATATATATCATTGAAACCAAGTTACCAGCAGTCACGATGTCGACTAACACCTTTCCCTTGCCGTGGTAGCGGAACACAGAGTACTGACTCTACTCGCCGTCGAAGAAACTGACACAATATATATCATTGAAACCAAGTTACCAGCAGTCACGATGTCGACTAACACCTTCCCCTTGCCGTGGTAGCGGGACACAGGGTGCTGACTTTTCTCGCCGTCGAAGAAATTGACACAATATATGATCATTGAAACCAAGTTACCAGCAGTCGCAGCATGATGCACGCCTTGGTGGGCGTCTTGAAGCTGAAGTCCCCGCAGAGTCGCACGCTGTCCACGAACACTTCTTCCTTGCCGTGGTACCGGGACACTGAGTATTGACTCTTCTCGCCGTCGAAGAAACTGACAAAATAAGTAAAATTCTACTTTAATATATAAAATTCTCGTGTCATAATGTTTGTAACAAAACTCCTCCGATTGTTATGAAATTTTGTGTGTTTATTCAGTAGGTCTGAAAATTACGTTAACCATATTTTAAACCCCAAAGTGATAAGAGTTGTGCACCCTAATATTTTTAATGTTTTGGACCATTTCTTTTTTTTACTATTCGGCATTAAAAATACATACAACCCTGAATTTTCACCAAAAACATCATTAATCTAACAATGACTATAGCTTTAAAAAAAATAGAAGTGATTTATCAGTATAAAAAAACAAGCCTTAGAGTAGTCGCGTATGATGTGTAACAATTTGAAACATCACCCTATATTAATAGAAAAGAAATAAAAACCTACTACAAAAGGAATAAGCCATTTGAAAATTATGTTCTAAAAAAGCGGGAGGAAAGATGTTACACATCAATAAACTAAAAATTAATCAAAGCAACTGACCAATAGAATGGGTCTTCGGGTTGCACTCTAGCGCCCACTGGCGGTAATCCGTCCGCGTCCATATAGGCCACGAGTTCCGGTATGTTCGGGTCCCGCTGGAAGAATGACGTGTTGTGTTTCAAGTCCACAAATTCCGATTTGTACACGGAGCCGGCGGCGAAACCGCGCTCGTACGCGGATTTGTTTATGATCATAGCGTCTTCCATATCGTAGCCCTGCGCAAAAGGAAAAAAATATACAGGGTTAATTTTAAAACACCAACAACCTCTCACGGGGTGATTCTACCTATCAACAGGAACAACTTTTATTATGGGACCAACCCTGAAATCGCGAAAAAAAAAATCTGCGGTTTCATACAGAAGTGCATTAGCTAATCGACCGAAATGTAAGAAACAGTTGATTTTTTTTCGCGATTTCAGAGTTGGTCCCATAGTAAAAGTTGTTTCTGTTGATGGGTAGAATCACCCCATAAAAGTTTGTTGGTGTTTTAAAATTAATCCTGTATACAGGATGGGAAAAAAAGACCGTGGTTGAAGGCAAAGTACCCCCAATATCGATGATACCAAATTTTCCTGAAAGGAAACATTGCTTTATTTCCAATAAGAAAATATACCGCCATTTAATAGTACATTACGATTCGCGTGACCTAAGTTGCCTATTACTGCACGGCGTGAAGTTAGCGCCCGAGCGGAGCGAGGACTTAATAGACAACTTAGGCCACAAGTATCGTATACTATTTTATAGCAAGTGTGACATAAATCGATAGTCAATTGTGCGACAAATTACAGTAGTTTTAAAACTAAATTGTGATGATTTAAAATCTATATAACTATATAGCCAATCACAAAACTCAAACTCATTTATTTGTTTCTTAGGTTTTCACGCACATCACGCATTAAATAAAACTAATTATTCACGGGTTAATGCACGAACTAGTGAAAAACTAGTTTTATCAAACTCATTTATTCAGTCTAGGCTGTTACAAGCACTTATGAAGGTCAAGAAGCTACGCCATCGGTTCGCAAAACTACGGCGGGAGTCCTTGCACTGAGAAGAACCGGCAAGAAACTCAGCAAGGGCTGTTTTTTTTCTCCCTGTTTTGTTATATACAGAGTCGTCAAGTTGAAAATTACTTCAGAGATACTTCTGAAGTCACCTTCCATTACATCATTTAGCATATAGATATATAGTTACAATAAATTTTATAGTTAACTCTATATTTAGTATACAGGAAGCGGCATTAGATAGGTACCATATTGCTGTTATGAAAAATGACTAATACCCATCGAATAACAAATTACAAGTTGTTACTTGTAACTATGTCCATGCATTACGATCATTTAGATACTCATCAAGCTTTATGATAGCCCTTCTTCATAAGAGCATTCTTAATCTGAGATTTAAATTTGATCAGTGGAAGCTCAATCAAATCTTGGGGAACTTTATTAAACAATGCAATACTACAACCCAGAAATGAACCTCTTGATTTTTGGAGTCCGAAACATGGAATCGCAAGCTTGTTCTTAAATCTCGTGTTAAAGATAATGTTTGACGACAATCGCATTCAGCCTACCGGTAGTCATACAGGCCTATATTATCGTAGTGCATAGGCCTAAACTGCGGACTGGCCGGCGCCTGCAAAATGTATAACTAAAATATCCGTCTGTATAAGATATAACGGCGACAATCGCATTCTTGCCCGCACTGGGTAGTCATCCCAGCCCATATTGTCGTAAGTCTTCACTTTACGTCTTCACGTAAACTGCGAAGTTTTTGCAATCAGTATACCTTACAAAAAGTTATAGGAATGTGACTCTTACCGTATAGGATATAACGGCGACAATCGCATTCGTGCCGCATGGGTAGTCGTCCAGGCCTATGTTGTCGTAGTGCGTAGGCCTAAACAGTGGAGTGGCCGGCGTCTGGAGTCTGTACAGTTTAGTTTCAGCGTTTGTGGCCCACGTGTGTATGGGCGTGCCCATGGTTTGTTTACCCATTTGACACTGGTACATGTTACTGCGACAAAATAATAAAATAATGATGAATTTGTTCCTTTAATTCAATAATTATATCAGCGCACAAGAATCCATTAATACTTATATTTATTTATTTGGAACAACAAACAGCGACATAAATGTCAAATATTACAAGTTTAGAATTTGTCTTCATATTAACCGTTCTTAACGGATTATAAAGCTGGAAAGACAAGTCAAGTATTATACAAATTATTATTTACATCTTCTTAAGTTATTTGTTAGTACATAGAAAATCAGGGACAATGCTAGACTGAACGTTTCGTCGACCTAGTACAAGATATCTATTATATGGTCATTCAAAACCTCCAAAATATATGTATTTATTGCAATAAACGCTCACCGTGGCGATTGGTTGCAGTCAGGCATCGGCACCAATTGAGCCAAGTTACTCATGAATGCTGACTTCGACAGCTCCAAATGTGTACTTTTACCTAAAGTCACAATAAAACACATTATTAATGGTAAATAATATTAACAAACTTTTATCAGTATTAGTTATTAGTTTGGATAGTAACCATGAGAACGGAAAGGAAAATAACCAGCACGATTTTAATTAGTAAATGTGGCTTTGGCTATTCCCGGTTTCCGGCCCTTCCAGGTCGCGTCCGAGTTTGTCTACGGTTTTCGTTGTCGATATTTTACGTACCTTTGATGATCTCTGATTGGCAGACAGCGATGTCTAGGTAAAGTTGCTCCATAGTGCCCTTGAGTTAGGTTGAGCACCAGTAGTTCTCGTTCGAAATTATCTGACAGCAGACGACAAAACATCATTCCATTCTCTATGCTTATGTGTGATAAGTACCTTTGATTATTATCTCCGATCGGCAGACGGCGATATCTAGGTAGAGTTGCCACATAGTGCCTATTAGTTCAATCTGCCTGGTGACGAGATTAAAATCCAGTAGTTATCGTTCGATTTATCTGACAACTGGCGGTGAATTCAGTCCCTTCTCTCTAAGTCTAAATATGATACGTACCTTTGATGATCTCTGATTGGCAGACGGCGATGTCCAGGTAAAGTTGCTCCATGGTGCCTATTAGTTCGATCTGCCCGGTGACGAGATTGAAGACCAGTAGTTCTTGTTAGAATTTATCTAACAACTGGCGGAAAACTCAGTCCGTTCTCTGTATGTCTAAGTGTGATAAGTACCTTTAATGATCTCTGATTGGCAGACGGCGATGTCTAGGTAAAGTTGCTCCATTGTCCCTATTAGTTCTAGTTGCCCGGTGGCAAGGTTGATTACAGGTCGCATCATACGCGCCTCGGTCGTGAACAGAAACACGCCTGGGTACTGCGAGCATACCTGATCGCCAAACATAGTTATAAGTGACTAATTGGTACGAAACTTGGACTTCAATTGGCGAATTTACTTTTTTTTCTTTGGGTTAATAACAGCCATCAATTGAGTAATACATTTCATTTTTGCGATTACATACAAGGCCACAATTTATTAGTAGGAAAGATGACTATTATTTTCTTCGTCCATCTGGTAGTTTAACAAATAATAATAATAAATGAAAGGTCTTAATGAGACCATATGAAATATATACAAATGAATAATTTTTTTCAGATTAAATACTAACCACATTCCAAAAGGCGGACTAAAGTTAGTCTTGGTTTAAACCTAATGTTATCTCTGTCTTCTTTTTAGCAAACAAAAGTGATAGCTTCAGTTTTAGTTTAGGTTTATTTTTAGTTTACGTTTTGTAAAAGGGCGGTATTTATGCACATAATTATAGTATGTACTCACCTGTTTCTTAGGTATAAGCACGATTTCCGTATGCACAGGCACTTCACCACGTACTTTGAGCACGCGAAGGTGATGGATAGCCTTGTCAGCATCCTCTTCAGGCAAATAGCCGGCCAGTCTACCATCCACAAACACTGGATATTTGTATACGTCGCTTGATAGCGGCGTATCACTCACTGTACTTATGGGGTTCATGCCTAATGAATAAGAATGAGTAATCAACATTGAGGAGCTGGGTGGCGCTCTGGTTAGCGCTTTCGGTTTGCGATCGTAGAGGTTAAGCCTACTTTCGCAATGGGTGGGAGACAAAAAATTCAAAATAAGTTTTATGAAATTTTGTTCAAAAATTCCATTCAAAAATATTTATAACACATACTTCATCTCTTCTTTCTTATACACTTCTGGACACATCTATTGGCCCACCTTAGAGTTTAGGTTTCGATGGCCCCTACCGAAATATGATTGCTAGATTGAACAAAAACTATTGATGCAGTTTTAAACCTGATACATTTTACATCTTTTTCGATCGTATTGTTCAGAATACTATACGACATGGAGCTACGCCTAACAAGTCGGATATGCGCCTTGTTAAAGGCAATTGATTTTTGAATAAAAAACATGTTTTATCAAATAAAGGTTTAATTTAATAACGCGTGTTGCCTCCATGGGCATCTACCACAGCTCTCATACGATTAGGCATAGAGTTTATCAACCGCTCTATGAAATTTTGAGGGATCATCTCCCATTCCTCTTCTATGGCAGTTTTCAACTCCTGCATCGTCTGGGCAACTGACTGACGAGCCCTAACACGTCTTTTTAGCACGTCCCACGTGTGCTCAATGGGGTTCATTCATGTCTGGGCTTCTGGCTGGCCAGTCCATAACTGTGATGTTCACATCCCGAAGATATTCCCTGACGATGCCGGCCGCATGGGCTCTTGCATTATCATGCATAAAAAGGAAATTTGGGCCCACATAGTCCGCGTATGGTATCACGTGAGGTTCTAAGCACTCACGAATGTACCTTTCAGCATTTAATGTTGGCAGCCGTGGTCCTGTAACAACCTCAAGTTGAGTTTTGCCGCTCGCGGATATACCGCCCCAGACAGTCCATGAGCCACCGCCATAAGCAACCCTCTCTTCAAAGCAGCATTATGCGAAACGCTCTTCCTTACGTCGGTAGACCTTCTTCCTTCCATCATTGCCATGTAACACAATTTTAGACTCATCAGAAAAGAGTACACGGCTCCAATCTTGCTGTGTCCAATTTAAATGACTGCGTGCGAAATGAAGGCGCGCTGTTCGGTGGACTCGCGTTAGTTTGGGCCCATTAGCTGGCTTGTGTGGTACCATATCGCGTTCTTTTAACCTTCTCCAAACAGTTCGAGCGCTCACAGATACTCCGTGGAAGTCGCGAATTTGTTTTTGTATCTCAATGGAGGTAAGGTGACGATTTCTCAAGCTGGTCGTCACGATGAATCGATCCTGCCTTTCAGTTGTGACCCGAGATCGTGGCCTTCCTTGGCGACGAACAAAGCCGCCAGTCTCTAGGTACTGTAACGTCCGTGATGTTACAACCTCCTTGTTTAGGTAAACTCTTTGCTTTTGCAATGCCTACGGTTGGCAGTTATATTAAAAAGTTAATGTCATGATTTTAAGATTTGAAATAAGGAATCGTCTGTCTTTTGATAGAAGATTCCATTCATTATTAGATCTTCAGGCACCAAGAAATCCTCTCGTATTTAGATTAAATATTTTATATTCGCCTGAATGATAATACAAAATAAATAACTTATCTTTACGAGTATCTTTTAATTAATAAGCAAGTCCCCAGGTTCTATCCCTTCCGGGTAGAACTCCATAGTACCTCCGATAAACATTTCGGACCGCAGATCGACTTAAATTAAGTTGAGCACTCACGTTCCTTTGGCTGTGTCCGGCCTGAATAAGTGCCACAGCTTGGGCGGCGACTTCAGGTGAAGTATCCATAGATTATTGATAGAACCTCACCTTAATGTTAAGAATAAGTAATGTTTGTTGCAAAACCAAAGATATCAATCACTTTTTCAAGAATTAAATCCAAGTAAACCAATAAAACCAAGTTTTCTTAGTATTCGATTGTTTGATATCAAATTGTCTTTTGTTTCTTTAAATTCTGTGTTCGAAATTCAAAAAAAGACTATTGAATGAAATTGTGAATGTGCCAGGTTTAAAACTGCATAAAAACTTTTTGCTCGACCTAATATAAAATTTTAGCTAGGACCAAACGAAACTGAAAATACAAGGTGGGATAATAGATGTGTCCAGAAGTGTATCATAGCATACCATTTGTCGTTAGTCGACGTAGCTAAACAGATTTTTTTTATATTCTTCATTATTCGCTGTGATAAATCGAATCTCATTAAATGCAAGCTTGCTTAAATTAACTTACCGCATTTTTCAAGCACAAACGGCAGATTTGCCAGCTGCTGCGCTTCTGGACGTTGTGTAACCTGAAAATAAACATCAGTGTATTAGTAATATTTTCTTCTACTATCTCCCCTCCATATTTTCAGATATTTTATCTTGTTTACAGCCAATCCAAACAATTATGCTACATAATTATTAATAAACATACAGTTATAATAAACAGGGTGTTTTTTTTGTTTCAACTCTTCATTTAAGTACGTTTTGTATACCTTATGGTCCGAACTACTGTACGTTTTAGAGATTTGCTTTAAAACTTTGATTTTGGTGATTCTCTAGGTCCAATTGATGCGAAGCATGCGACGGAAACCAATATTTCTAAATAATACCTATTTTCATTTTAACCGATGAACAGATTTAGATGAAATTTGCTATAGAAAATTTGAGTCCCACGTAAGGACAAAGGATAGTTTTATCACACAATTAATCCGTTAAGGGCCTGAAAAAGCTGTTTGAAGGCTGCATGGGAAACCAATGAAATCACGCAGTCGAAGTCGCGGGTACTCGGTAGTTCAATTATATTCTAATAGTGCTTTTACCGCGAGGATGCCCTATAGATGGAACACTATGTGCAGGGTTAGTACTGACCTGCGCGGCCATCGTGAGATGGTTGAGCAGGCCGCAGGGCAACAACTGTCTCTCTTCAGTAGTACGCATCGGTATGAAGAATGAGCTGCGGTGATGCCCTATAGATGGAACACTATGTGCAAGGTTAGTACTGATCTGCGCGGCCATCGTGAGATGGTTGAGCAGGCCGCAGGGCAACAACTGTCTCGCTTCAGTAGTACGCATCTGTATGAAGAATGAGCTGCGGTGATGCCCTATAGATGGAACACTATGTGCAGGGTTAGCACTGACCTGCGGGGCCATCGTGAGATGGTTGAGCAGGCCGCAGGGCAACAACTGTCTCGCTTCAGTAGTACGCATCTGTATGAAGAATGAGCTGCGGTGATGCCCTATAGATGGAACACTATGTGCAAGGTTATTACTGATCTGCGCGGCCATCGTGAGATGGTTGAGCAGGCCGCAGGGCAACAACTGTCTCGCTTCAGTAGTACGCATCTGTATGAAGAATGAGCTGCGGTGATGCCCTATAGATGGAACACTATGTGCAGGGTTAGCACTGACCTGCGGGGCCATCGTGAGATGGTTGAGCAGGCCGCAGGGCAACAACTGTCTCGCTTCAGTAGTACGCATCTGTATGAAGAATGAGCTGCGGTGATGCCCTATAGATGGAACACTATGTGCAGGGTTAGCACTGACCTGCGGGGCCATCGTGAGATGGTTGAGCAGGCCGCAGGGCAACAACTGTCTCGCTTCAGTAGTACGCATCTGTATGAAGAATGAGCTGCGGTGATGCCCTATAGATGGAACACTATGTGCAAGGTTAGTACTGATCTGCGCGGCCATCGTGAGATGGTTGAGCAGGCCGCAGGGCAACAACTGTCTCGCTTCAGTAGTACGCATCTGTATGAAGAATGAGCTGCGGTGATGCCCTATAGATGGAACACTATGTGCAGGGTTAGCACTGACCTGCGGGGCCATCGTGAGATGGTTGAGCAGGCCGCAGGGCAACAACTGTCTCGCTTCAGTAGTACGCATCTGTATGAAGAATGAGCTGCGGTGATGCCCTATAGATGGAACACTATGTGCAAGCTTAGTACTGATCTGCGCGGCCATCGTGAGATGGTTGAGCAGGCCGCAGGGCAACAACTGTCTCGCTTCAGTAGTACGCATCTGCATGAAGAATGAGCTGCGGTGATGCCTTATAGATGGAACACTATGTGCAAGGTTAGTACTGACCTGCGCGGCCATCGTGAGATGGTTGAGCAGGCCGCAGGGCAACAACTGTCTTGCTTCAGTAGTACGCATCTGTATGAAGAATGAGCTGCGGTGATGCCCTATAGATGGAACACTATGTGCAGGGTTAGCACTGACCTGCGCGGCCATCGTGAGATGGTTGAGCAGGCCGCAGGGCAACAACTGTCTCGCTTCAGTAGTACGCATCTGTATGAAGAATGAGCTGCGGTGATGCCCTATAGATGGAACACTATGTGCAGGGTTAGCACTGACCTGCGCGGCCATCGTGAGATGGTTGAGCAGGCCGCAGGGCGCGCCGTCTGGCGTGTGTACGGGACAAATGAACCCCCAAGCGTCGGGCAACAACTGTCTTGCTTCAGTAGTACGCATCTCCATAAAGAAGGAGCCTCGGTGGATAGACCTATAGTTAATAATAATAAATACTTTTATTTCGTCTTCACAAAACAACTCCACGAGCGATCAGCGTTACTCGATTTTTGTTTGAAAGCGAAATCGCCATTGTGTCACACACGTCGTTTATGCAGATTGCTAAAATTAAAGACATACTCTATACATGAAACCCAAGCATCCCATTAAGTTTGTAATTATTAAATAAAGATTCGATTTCACCTTATATAAATTTTGAACCAAACATTTACCAATTTTTACATTAAATGTATGAAACTCCGATCTAATTTGTCATTTGCTGTATTTGTTTGGGGTGCAGCTCAGTAATACGTTAGTTAGAGTTATTCATGAATATAAAATGAGTGTGTTATCAATAAGTCGAGATCATTTAAAATTGTTTGCAATAGAGAAAAATAAATTAAAAAATATCTAAAATACAACTATTCATTATAGTTTTCTTTTTTGATTTTTTTCAGTTATCTCAAACATTATTAAACTTTTCAACAGAAAAAAATTATCTTGACTCACTTGAAATGCGACATGTAACGCATCCGGTTAATATTTTCAGCGACTATAGTCAATCCCTTGTACTGAGTAAGAGTCACGTTGTTCGATGGCGCGTTGCCCGTAGCAAGGAACGTATCCATCTTGCCTTCTAGATTTCCCGCCGAGCGCATCATAGCCTGAATGTCGCTCTGTAGACAAAACATCATCATCAGCCTATTAATGTCCCCACTGCTGGGGCAAAGGCCTATGGATAGAATAGGGAGATTGGGTCATGACCCACCACGCGAGCTAAGTGAGAATAGGTGGGTGCTAATGACTGCAAATAGAGCCAGGACCCTACCAAAGCACGGACGAGTTTGAAAAATCAAATATTTTTGGTTACTCATCCTAAAATTAGTGAATGCGGAAGATATTTAACTCCACAATCACAGAACAAACTAACCATTTGTGCCATTGAGCTCCTCATGTAACAAACGCTCGCGTACAAAAACTATAGAATTTCCAAAAGAGCGTTATTAGTATATTCAGTGGATTATAAAGGTGAAAAACCTACGCCGAGAGTAATTTTTCGGGGCATATAATAGATTTATTACAGTCACAAGTAGTTATTCCATGAGCTAGTTATTATAACAGTAATTTAGTCAGATTATGGTGAAAAATTAAATAAGTATGTACTAAAATTTAATGAGGCATAATAAACTCACAGCAGACATATTGAGTTTGGCCGACCCTTTGCACCGCTTGTTGATCAAAACTCGCATCATTACCATCATGGTCTGCAGCCTTTCCTTCAGAACTTGAAGGTACAGGTGTCCCCCGAGGAGCAACTCTTGGACCATCACTGCATCAGCCCCTTCTACCTGAAGAATCAATTTGGAATTCAAATTTCCTAAGATTTGTTTGAGAAAAGTTCCAGTTAACATAGTAAATGTTACATAAGAGACAGACATAGATAGTCAGAGCAAATCTTATATTACTATTGGTTTAAACACGATACTTCATTAGGGGTGCGACCTTTGTCGTGACCTGCTTCCATATAATATGTGAGGTGCTCAATGGTCACCATGTCGCATCTTAGGGATTTTTTCTTTTCAATCTGCATTATTCTGCACATTTATAACCAACTGTAATGCACAACATAATGCAATAAATGTCTTGAAGTTTGACTATGCGAAATAATAATAATACCTCTGCTCATAGTATCAAACTTTTTTCCAAAATTTGCCAACTTACATATTCAATTATAACACATATAAGAGTTTACCTTGCACTTGTTCTGCACTAAGTCGCACAGCTTCTGCGTCATAAACACTAGCGCGTGGAACTTATCCCTATTATTGTCCAAGTGTATCATCAGAGATCTGTTCAGAAGGAAATTGGCTGCGTCTTCGTCTGTGGCGTCTGACGGTAGTTCGTAGAGTCGTGGTCGGAACATACGACCCAAGTAGAGACGGCAGTCTTCTGACGAATGCAAGCCCTCTTCGTGCAGCTCGCGAAGCATGTTTTGTATGCAACTGTTGGATATGTAAGTACATATTATTAAATACTACGTTAAGTAGGCGTAATTTAACTAACTTTTGATGGGAGGAAGTATTATACTCTATTACATTCAGATTGGACTTGGGAATTGTTTATATAGGTGTGCAAATGGCAAAACTCAACGGCAAAAACGGTAGCATGCAGCTAGTTTAAGTAGGCATTTATTACGCTCCATTGCAAGGGTGACGAGAGCCCGTAGGTCTTAGTCTTAGTCTTAGTAGTACGGCGGGCTGTTTCCGCAACTCGACACCCAGTGCGCACTATATAAGGCCTGACATATTTTTTTTACTGCCAAACATAATGTTTTTACAGCTGGGCTGTTGAAAAAAGTATTTATGCGTGATGTAAAGTGAGAATGAGATCGAAGATGGAGTGTGTGCCTGATATATGCATATTCGATATTTATAATAAAATAACTCGTTTACGCTCGTCCGCCCATCGTCGTACGAATCGCCACTCTGACAAAAAGCCTGACAAAAGCCGGACAGGTCAAACACGTACATATTTGGCCGGACGCGACCGCAAAAAGCCAAACATGTCCGGCTAAAGCCGTACACCTGGCAAGCCTACACCCAGTGCCTATTTTGCGTGGGGTGCCCGTAGGCCTATTCCCTAGCGGTTTTTGACAGATGGATGTGATAATCCTGATAATCACTGAGCTATCAACGGATCCAAAACTGCTTTAATAATAACGCCACTAACATACTTTTCCCTAAAAGCATCGATTGATATGCAATTTGCTCTTTAATTACAACTTTAATGCAAAAAAGTTAGCGAACACGCCAACTGGTAGGAGCATCTTTGATTTTTGATCCTTCGAGCCAGATATACTCACTTGACGTAGTATAAGTCGTCCTTCTTTCCGTGTAGCAGGAGCCTGTATATGTAGTGGTCAGGTGCATCCATCAAGCACTTCAGGATCAGAACCAACGGAGCGTAGTACATCATGCGGCGATGCGAGAACATCAACTTACAAGTGCCGTTTTGAAGGAAGTGGAGCACGTTGTTCTATAGTAATAACACACTTTTTATTTTAAATATCTTTGAGGAAAAAAGAAAAAGAAACAATTTCCAAACGCAATTATCAATCTTCATTCTCCTTTTACCTTTAGACCAATAGGAGCTTAGTTGCCTTGATATTTTTATTCTTTAGATTGAAATATATTTTACTGAGAAACTAAACCAGCTAACCTTTTGTCTGGAGATTGATTATTGAAACTGGTTGTAAAAGACTCTATCAATCACCTATATTATAAGTGTGAATTTTTTTTGTTTTTAGTGCTTTAACTCCTAAATCACTGAATTGGTTCTGCTGAATATTATTACAATAATTGGTACAGTGATAGTTGCGAGATGGTTGTGAGATACTTTTTATCATGATAATAAATGTTGCATAAACTTAAGTTGTGTTGTCATGTTATCATAGTTGTACCAAAAATTATATAGATACAGAGCTGCAGCTTTGTGGATGCCAATCACAGACAATTGGAAGGACAGAGTTGATTTTATGATTGGGATATGCATAAGTGTGGCTCTGTGTGTAAGAGTTAAATTTCTGTATATTTGTGGCTGTACTACTGGAGGACAACAGGACATCAATAAAATAAATGTGGTATGTTGTAATAAATGTTGAATCTTTTTTTATTGTGTCTTGCACCCGTTTATTATGCAAAGTCCTAAACAAAGGTAGTTAGAAAATGTAGAAGAGAATTTTTAATACTTACAGTGGCTGTCTGGTCAGCTGTCACACACCGAACAAGAACACCATAATCTGAGAACAGATTACCCCTCATCTTCCAAGAAGGTCTTTTGATTGCTACTGGGTAATTACGTCTGGTAACCAATAGCATACGTGCCAGACGCTCATGGCCCTAAACAAATCAAAAAAATATGTAGTTTGAACCTATCCCTTTTCTCCCTGGCTGATCATTGGATGGGTGATGAAAAATTAATTATTTTATGCTTATTTAAGCTATTAAGCCCAGTTTACCCTACAATAGTTAGGACCTAGCAATCGAACCTGTGTTGGTGTTAAGATGTATATGAAGACCATTTTCTCTATTTGTATATATTATAAAGTCCATAAGAAAGGCCTGTGGACATATGCACAGGCATTAACATTAGCTGGCTGATGATCATCACATGCTTAAATTTGGGACTCTGATAGTTAAAAATAGTAAAACAAAAAGAGCTTAGCAAAAGCATCTATTTGGATAATATTTATGAATATATTGGTCTTGATAATGCATAGTGCATTATGTGTTTACATGTATGTGACAGCTAGGTCTCTTGTTCACAGCCATTTTTTTACAGGACTCCTGGCTGGTGCTATGGCCTGTGCCCTAACATTGGGAACATTAATAAGCAGATAATTGATTCATTCTCCTTATACTTAACTATTTCACTGTTTCAGTTATTATAATTATGTATAAAAAACTTGTTTTAAAAATATAAGTAATAAACACATTAAATTACCTTAACAATAAAGTATCCACCCCACTCGTCTGCATGTTCGTTGTGCTGAACCAACTCTTCAGGAGTCATGTCAGCCAGGTGACACATTTTTGACTAAAACATTTAGAATTAAATCAGATATGTTATTTATATTTTAACTATGATTTGTGTCTTAATAATAATTGTTTCTCCGCAGTAGTAAAAGGTATTTGTAATAAACCAGTTAGCTAGATATTTAACAATTTAAGAAATTTTAAGACAAAGACAAAAAGATTGTGATTTCAGGGTACACCATGTGAAATTATTTTGTAAATTTTAACTCAATGAATATGCAAGTAACTAAATAATAAAACCTTAATTATTTATCAACATGGATTATTAAGTATTTATTTATGATAAGTAACTAAAATGTGTTGCTGTGTTCACATCATTGGTGGTCATACATAATGTTAATTAAAATGAATTGTACATATGGATGGCTACAACGCAAGAATCAAACGCAAGAATATTTTCCAATATACACTACTTCCACCAGAAGATGTATGTATGTTGTATGTCATCATCAAATGAAAGACTACAAAATTATATAACCTACTATAGATTTTCATAATCCCTTTAATCTGTTTTGAATACTAACCTTTAACATAATAGGTAATAATCCAAGTGATCTATCTGCTGTTATAGTCCTTCCATCAATAGTTATAGACAATCGAACTCTGAAATCACCTTTATAAGTAACTGCCCTCTGTCTGCATTCCGTTGGAAATACTTTCATGTTTTTAACACCTACAGCATCTATGGGAACACTGGGCTTCGAGAATGCCGCTTCATCTACAACAATTTTCACACGTTCTCCAGACACAGCCACAAAATCTACTGGTTTCAGGTCTGCAATTGCTGCTTTTAAGCCGTCTTGTAGCATGTAGTTGAACGAATCTATGTGAGGGGCTCCAAGGCATTGTAAATACTGGAATATAAAAAGACGTCACCTTCTTTCATACTCTTCTATTTTGTAATTTTATGTAACTTTGGAGTCCTTATTTAAAAATGTATACTATGTACATATATTGATATAGTTTGCGGTGATAAAATATGTGAAAATAGGTAAAAATCGTGTAAAAAACGAATTAAACTTACCGGGTTAAAACTTTTCGGAGGTTGTCTATAATCTCGATTACTTGTGTAAGCGAGTGAAGGGCACTTTGCTACTTTTTTAGGATCTATCTTCATCTTTGTAAATATGTTTGTATTTACTTGATAAAACCATTTATTTCAATTTTTTATTTGTAAAATGTAGTGAATTATCGAAGCACTGTAATTTAACTGTCATAAATCATCACAACACGTGTTTTTTGTTTTTTTTAAGATTCTCCCATTTCATGGAAGGCATAGTAAACAATACCCATACAGTCTAGTCTTTCGTTTTATTCATCTTCTTTTTTTAACATTAGAATGTCGGTGTGACGCATTCTAATGTTTCTTGGAATGTTTAGCACGAAATATATCGAGTTGGCTTTTTCGATATGCTTCTGTGAGGTAGTCAACACTACAATAAATTGTCACGTCCACTTGATCGGAATAGGGCATATTTTAAATATTCCACTAATTATTCAGTTGCGCAGACGGTTGTAACACAAAATCGCACTTATTTTATTGTAAAATAAAATACCCACTATGAACGAATTTAAACGCAATTAAAATAATAAGTTAGTTCATTTAACACATTTTAAGCAAATTTTGTTTTAATACTTACTATAAACTGATTTAATAGAAAATATTCGTGATATTCAAATGCATGGTCGGTAATATAGCCGTCTCTTTTCCTCGCGATCCGTACTGCTATATTGCTGCGCGTAGAGTCAAAGATATAAGGTCTATATTCTTCCGCATATAATAATATGTGGTAAAATTTTACGAGCTTACATCTCGGACTGTGATAACTCTTTGACGCATGCGTTTTAATGAAGACCTTTTAACATGTGCCTTAAAGGTGATTTTCAATGTTTAAACTGTTGCCTTATAGACTACGCGATCATCTTACGGAGCTCCGTGGATCATCCAATGCACCTTATAGACAGGTTTCGGGCATGATTTTGTTGATGTTGGTACATCTAAGGTCTTTAATATCGTCGATAAAAAAGTACTCAGTCCTGTATTTTCCCGAAATTATAAAAAAGTAAAAGTAAGCTTAAAGTTGCTTAACTTTCATAATTATGATAATCTTAAAAGTCAATCACCACTGCACCATCGGGTCCTGTTTACTGTGTACTACAAATTTTATCTCAATAGTAAGTATAACTTTTTAAATAAAAATGAAGCTCTATTTCTTTTGACCTTGCTATAACTGCAGAACGACTTGACTGATTTTATCCATATTTTATTCTTAGTATTTTAATAACGTTTTATTAGAATCTTCAGAAAAAGAAAATTAAAAAGTTGTGCATTACAAAATTTTACTTCGAACTTTACCCGATAGGAGTCTGAGTTTTTTTTCTGGGAAAGTATCCTATGACTCAGTCCAGTTTATGAACTATATGCGTACCTACCAATTTTCATCCAAATCTGTTCAGTATTTTTTTCATGAAAGAATAACAAACATCCATACAAACTTATGCATTTATAATATAAGTAGCAAAATTATAGGATGTAAAATATTACCTAGGCACAAAGTCATCCAATTAAACTTATTGCTCGATTGTTGCGTGAGGATTGTCTTTATCTGTACAAGGTCAAAAGCCTTGGCGTATTTGAAGAATTAGTTGAATGACACTAATTGCTTTTTCGTATTTACCTACAGTAGGAATTCTTATTATAATCTTCTTTGAGAGAGGTAAGGCATATAAGACAGATCACAGTAAAATAAGAGGACCATTGTTGTGTTTCTGTCGGTGGGTAAGGTTTCAGGGTCACGGAGTAGGGGATTTTGTCAGGTAGGCAAAGGTAAGTATAATAAGAGGAAGAAATTCTCTTAGTATAAGTTCTGTAGGTGCAAGTGATATTCTTTGGTACCGCAAGCATCTATAGGCTATGGAGGCCGCTTACCATCAGGCGCACTGATCAAGAAATCACACCGTTTATCAAGCGGGAGGGTAATACGCTTATTTACCAGCCTTTTGACATAATAAAAAAACAAGTATAAGAACTGTTCACATTATACAAGACTGATAGAAAAATCTATAATCTATTTTCAATTTTAATTTTCAAATCGATTGCGGAATATCTATACCTATGTTGTGGTTTGACAGAGGCGCTGTGGTCTATTTACTTCCTCTTAGTAGTTACCATTAAAGTGTAATTAGAATAAGTAAATTCAACAGGAACACTATTGAATTAAAACCTTATCCAGCTGGAGACCGTGGCATCAATGGTTGTCTTATTGCATGTGTCAATCGATAGATCTTTACTGTTTTCACGATAAAGTTAGCAGTACCAAGCACGAACAACTAGCGAGTAACTATTCATATCGTCACGAAAAATCTCATGTCAAATTCCAAGTATATGAAAAAAGCTAGTTTTTTCTTACGTCCGGTAGGGGCGCTGCTCAGTTTCCATAGTAACGTTGACGTTGGCGATACGAACACGGATCTGTCAAAGTTCGTACTTGGGGTACGGATACGGGTGATACATCTTTCATGTTTATCTTTTATCCCAGCTAAACAGCGTGCGTTGCGTTGAGTGGCGCACGGAGCGGGCGTCCGCTCGGCATGCAGTTTTTGACGTGTAACATCTTTCCTCTCGCTTTCTTGCAATTTGTGGGAGTTATTTCGTGAAATGGGACGGAAGTGTGTAACAGGTATCGCGAAAGCGCGCGCTATTTGATTTGATTTTAGAACATAATGTTCAAATGGCTTATTCCTTTTGTAGTAGGTTTTATTTCTTTTTTAATTAATATAAGGTAAGGTTTCAAATGTTCCACATCATAAGGCTCGCTCGTTTTTTATGTCATTTCGTAGAGACCGGCTGCGCGGGAGACCCGCCTCACTCAGCGCCGCTCTATGAAATAACATGAAATAAACATGCAAGCGGACGCCCGCTCCGTGCCTCGCACGCGTTAAGAGCTAAGCAACAATATGAATAGGTCCATACAAGAGGAGCTCTATGATCAAAGTTCAGTGACTAGTGCGTTCGGACTGGGATTGTCAAAGTTAAACAACTTTCGTAAGGCCAGTCATAGGATGGGTAGGTAACCAAAAGTTTAGTAATAACTCCTGCGTGTATCGAAAGGAACTTTAAGCAGTTAATCCGGGCTGAATATGCAGTATTTCGCATCCACAATCCATTCTAAACTCACATGTAGGTTTATGGATGGTCCGTTTGTGGCCTCACAAGCGAGCCTTTCAGCTGCTCGATGTCTTTTTGCGTCACTCCTGTAGTTGGCACCAGTGGCTCTTACCTTTGCCCCATTTTCCGATTAGCCTCCTTTAGGGGGTCGACTTCCCTTTGAAGGGTCACCATCTCCTTCTCTCCGGCCGCCTGATTTTCCCCTCTTTATGCACCTTCGGGCGGTGTGAACCTTCGGGGGGTTGGGCGTGATATCAAGCCCGTCCCTTTTCTCCTTCTTATCTCATTTTCCTTCGAGGCGAAAAACCCCTTTCACCAACTCCTTCATGCGCCTCGGCAGCAGATTTCACACTGCGAGACCCATAAATCTCGCAGCGCCGGTGGCCAGCCGGAGCTCATGGACCGCTAGTAGCTATCGCTCTGGGGCCTAGCTACCCCAGAGGGGTGTCAACGGGGATCAACGGGTGCACATGACAACTACGAACTCGGAACAACAGACATTACATACAATGTTACCCTTACCGAGCGGGGGGAGGCCAGGTAGGGACCTGACCTCGACAAATTTGATTTTTGCAGAGGTTTTCTCCTCTTGGCCCCCAACCAAAAAGAAGTGGCGGCCCCCGTTCCCGCACCACGTGCGGGGCTACGGGTCGGCCGGAGGTGGCGCGAAGTTCACACCACAACAGCAAGGCGTTGCCGCCTCTTCTATCGTCTTGACTGCCGCTGCCCCGGATGCCCAGGCCATCAACCGAGACTCACACGGTAATTTTTGCAGGAATTTTCTTCTTCGCAGCCCCCACCCTCCGAAGAAGATGGCAGCCCTCAACCCCGCACTATGTACGGGGTTACGCGCTCCTCCGGGCAGCGCACTGCCCTCCGACGCCTGGGCCACTTTATACCCCCCCAATCAAGGGTGATTTTTTTGGAGAGGTTTTTTTCCTCGCGGCCGCTACCTTCTACCCCCATCTACCACCCGGGAGTCGCGCCTGATGGCAGCCCAGCACAACTGCACACGGGTCCAATTCGATCCCTAACTGTCATAAATGTTTGACTCAAATTAAAAAAAACCTTTGTTTGTTTTAATTTGAGTCAAACATTTGCAGTCTTACCTTACTTCTCATAAAAAAAGTAAATATTATGTAATACTGCCCCTTTCCTTGACAGAACCACACGTGCTAACGTCGTTGCCACTGGCTTACTATGACCACGATTTCTTAATCGTGAAAGATTTGATGACCCATTTTTTTGTCTTGCTATAAGTTAATTCATCATCATTCTATGTTTCAAAATCCTACAATCGTGATTCTTCAGAAGAGATAAGGGTCAGAACGTAGATTTTGCCACAAATAGCGCAATGGTGTCGCAAAAATTTCTACGAGTCCATAGCGCAGAGTGACGCAAAATGGTAACGCAAAATTGTTAAGGAGTGCATACAAGATATGTAACGTAAGGACAGTGCTACAAAATAAAACACTTTTAATAGGTAAGTATGACAAACGTCAACTTTTACTCTTATCTTTAAGTCTTAAAAGGTGTTACAAAAAAGCGGAGTTTTATTGCTAGAAATACAATTCCTTCACATGAACTAAAATCGAAACCTCAAAAAAAACACAAATATTACAAAAGCTAAAAAAAACACCTGTAAGCCTATGTGTGTAAGCTCCTTTATTTGGTAGCGTAAAATTAGTAGCGCAAATTCTACGCCCCTGGTATCGCAAAGTTGCATAAAGTCATTTTTGCGCAACTGTTGCGCAAACAAAACCCATTATAACTTGATAAATAAGCTATTTTTTAATCTAAATTAAGCCTTGAAAGATGTCAAACATTTCATTAAATCGTGCGCAATAATAAGTATAGATATAAATCAAAAACTTACCGTGATAATTATATCAAAAAACACTCTCCGCAAAAAATATGACACTTCCTTCTTTCAAACGATGTTGATGTTGGACTGAAAAAAATATGACCGCTGACAGCGTATTGACCATAGACAAAGTATGTTCGGTGTTGCCACTACTCAGACTTGAATACTGCTATTTTTTAAACACAACCAAATGGGCATTTATTAGTTGCGCAATAAAAAGTAGCGCAAAGGAATGGATTTTAACGTTTTTCGAAAATGAGTGAAAATTTATGAAATTTCTTAGGTAATAGGAAACGATATTTAAAATGTGGCTAGCTAACTATTATTGTATAGCTTAAAGTAAACAGACTATCAAAAAGATTTTTATTTTTGATTTTACTGATGCTCAAAGTGCACCTCTACCGGGACGGATAAGCGTATTTTACGAAAAATTCATCGCTTTTTGTAGCAAAATATTTTATAAAGGACAATGGGCAAAAATGTATGGACGCTGCACCCACGTCCGCCACGGCTTAAACTACATTTGTTTGAAAGGTATTATAGTCAAGATCAACTGTGCCAAAGCGCATCAAATTCCATCCCGGGGGTCTTTAGTTATTTTAAGTTAAATGTGTACAAGTACTATAACGAACGAACAATAATGAAACAAGGTAGTTAGTTGGTTCGACTCTACATAGGGTGCTCAGGAATTATGGGAGTACTTCACAAGATGCAAGGGTACCCCCTAATGTAATTTTGCCGCGCTAGAGTAAACCCAAAAATCTTCGCATGGGTTGGGTTTTTTTATACATTCTGTTCGTAATAGTAAATTATCTTCTATGTGAAACGGAGCGACCACAGATTACACAAACTTGCCCATGTTTGGGAGAGACATGATTCCAGTTCATCCATACTAATTGACAAAACCGATAATCGTGTTCCAATATCCAAAGCGTGTTAGATAAAAATCAATCAAGTAGCAGGCGCACAATCACAACGAAGTAAGACGAGTCGAATATTTGCTACTGCAAGTCCTTCATCATCCGTAAACCGTTTTGAAATGTCTCAGTAAGAGCAAGCGCAGGATGGTCGGCAGGCTTTGTCGTTTATCTGGATGTATAGTACGATATGGCATATTATTATGATTACTAATAATATAAAATGAAGGTACTATAAAATGAATTTATTCAGCTACTTTAATATGCCCATGTGTCATATCTATTGACTACCAGGATATTTTTGCGGTGTCATATCTTTTGACTCCCAGGATATTTATTTTCGGTGTCATAATAAAAAAGGCTAGTTTTTCATAGATCTATCGATTCATACTAATTACATTGTTGGCGGAGCTGGGTGCGTTTTGCCCATTGTCCTTTCTAAGGTTTTGAAGATATTTAAATATTTTTATTGATCGCGATTCACCATTTGTGAGGAAATATGATTCTGTTATTGAAAAAAATGTAATTACCGTACTTTTTTTTAAAAATGTGGCGGAGAGTTATGTTATAACTAATGTGGCAAAATTTACGGCCTGACCCGTAAACAAGCATTTGTGCAGGCCGGCAAAGTGAAGATAACTGATGTGTTTACCAAGTGAAAAAAATATGCGAAAATAGCTATGGAAAATAGAATGATGTCCCTCGCCTTTGTTTTGTTGAAGTTGCGTTTGCGTAATTCCATAATCTCGAGTTCTCAATTGGCTTAGATTCAAATCAGAACGCTTGAACATATTATTAGGCGACAAGTGTTCAGATTGCGCATTCGTTATCATAGTAAATAACTATCAGATTACGAAAATCGATTTACAAATTGATAAAATGTAGGTTCTTACATCAGTCGAGTACCTTTAAAGGTATATATAATATAACAGCGTGGTGTAAACGTGTTCTATGTAAATGTATGGTACGTGCTATGAGCTCTAATGCATATATTATCTACATTATGTTCTACATATAGCGTCTGAATGCAGTAGCTTACTTAGAACTTTACTTATCGATTGTGGAACAGGTCCTAGGGCTTTTATGGGTACATATTTTATCTTTTTTATACATATACATATTTTCGTAAATTATTGTTTTATTACATTTTAATGGCTTCCTTACTCGCTGGTGTCTCCTCCATGAATTATATATGGCAAACGGACCATCCATAAACCAACATGTGACTTTAGTCTGGATTGTGGGTGTAAGCGAGTTGGTCGGCGCTCAACTGTTTTCGTTTATAAATGAGTAAAATTTTAAAATTTATACATTTTTATTTTCATGAACAATTCGAAATTCGAATTCAATAAACTTTTTTGCGGCCAGCATTCTAAAAGAAAAGTTTTTACTGTGTGACAATACTTATGACCTGACTGTGTATAAATATACATTATTACCCACAAAGATATACATAAATAAAACATATCCAAATATAATATTCAGTGTCTGATTATAGATACTATTGTAATTCAGTTTAAGCACTTTGTGATAAATTAAAATAATGTTACCGCGCCAAGTCCTAAACACAATCCTGTTTACGCGCGTGTAGAGGAATTGCATTCCAGAGCCAAATGTCAGAAATCGTGTATGTGTATGTGACAATCCTAGTATGGTGAATGTGTACTGTAAGTATTAAATTATATTACGGAACAAAGGGTAGGTGCTTAGGCTTGTAAACAGAATGTGCTTATACTTAAACTATGTAAATACATACTTCTATCATTTAGTAGGTTTTTTATAAACGTCCAGCAGTCTTAAATTGTAATTCCTTTTGGTGATAGGTACTTACTTTAAGAAGAAATGACTACACAATGGTGTTGATTCTGGCATGATTCTCTCATTCGACACCAATGTCTACTAATTAAGTTTTTATTGACGCTCTGAATTGCAGTTTTCGACCAGCAGAGCAAATAGCCTTTAAATTGAAGCCCAGAGTGGTGGAGCTGGGCTTCGATTAGTGGAGATGGCAAATGCGACCATACCCTTACAATCAGTGGGGATCCCCAGAGGGCTTGACCTCTGGGAGAGTCAGACTGGGGCCAGACTTATTCTGGTTCCGAGCTTGGATAGGACGCGAAGGCGGACAGACTCTTAGCGAAAATGGTGGACGTCCTAGACGAATACGAGAGTCACCATGGCGGAGCTTCTGGAGGCGGTGGCTAGCAGGGGGGACTATGCCTCCAACATGGTAACGTCTGCAGAGATCCGCCCCGAACCAGAGAGAGGACCGGAGAGGGGTCAGATTCGCCTTAGTCCAGTGTCTCGTGAGGGCTGCCAAGAAAGTGAAGGTGGGGGTGGAAAATCGCGAGAGTGAAGGTCCTAGCTCCTCTCCCAATGCACTGTTACCGGTGCCTGGTTGTGAATAAGGTTTAAGCGCTCTTCGACGTTAGACATTTGGTTCAGACTAGCAAGACGAAAATGGCTGGAACGGCACAATTTTATGCCGTATCAGTTATTTTTGCGACTAGTCTTCACTAACACTTACACCAGGAGAAGTGGGGTAATTTACTAAAAAAAAAATATTTTTTATTTTTATTTTATTGAAGTTATACTTCTTTAGGCGCGTTATGAAAAAATGATGAGAGTGAAATTTTAAGAGGCGCGCTCATCACTGTAACACAAAATTTTAACAGCATGAAGTTGGTCGCTTTAGCAAAAAAAAATTGAAATAGAATCTCTATTTAGTGGGTGCTAACGACTGCATTGTGAAGGCCTATCAAAAGTATTTATTAATCTGGAACAACGGAACCAAAGCGCGATTCAGGAGACTACAGCGCCATCTCTTGACCATTGGTGTAGTAGAACCAAAAACCACATCTTTATTTTTTGTAATAAAGTAACAGTTATAGGTATTCATATTTATAATATTTATCCACATGTTTCTAGTTTGTATATTCGGAATACGTATTTGAGTTTCATACAAATGCAAATCACATATGTTCTAATAAATTATATTCAGTAGCGATTTTAATTGAATATTTTGATTATTTATTTATTTTTTCAAATTAAAACTGAACTTTATTGACTGTGTTCTTTTCCAGACTTTTTATTAATTTATTGTAATTAATTATTTGCATGCAATTAAAAACTAATTTTAAACGATGCCAAAGAAGGATAACTTTTCACGCGCCTACTTAAGTACACGCACCCATTTTTTTTTTATTTGGGAAACATACAATATTTTATTACAATATATATATTAATATATTATAAATTAATTATAGATTAACATACATCAACAAAGTTTCCACTAACAATTAGTACAGTTATGAGCAGCTGTGTATTTAATAAAAAATCATATAAAAAAGTTAAATTAAATAAAAAACAAACAAAAACTAGGTAACAGAGAAGTTTACACATATCAAATTGACAAATAAATAAATTTTAATAATAACAGTTCATTCATTCAATTACATCATTTAAAAGTTTTTTGTATTCAATAATTCCATTTTTAAACATATCAATAAAATTAAATTTATTATTATACGAATCACAGGCTCGGTACAAAAATGTATTAGAAGTATATTTTGTCTTAAGAAAAGGAACACTAAACAGGCTACTAGACCTTGAGTTTATACGGGAACACTTAAATCGAATGTTACTCAAAAGAAAAGGAGAATCAACCATATCATTTAAGATTTTAAACAGGAAGATCTGATCCCTCACGCAGCGGCGATTACTCAAACTATCTTTGAGAATCGTTTCATTGTTTACTTTACAATGCGAACACCTAAATGAAATGTGTTTAACAAACTTTTTATGTATTCTCTCTATCATGTCAATAAAATATTTATATTGAGGATTCCAAATAATCGATGCGTATTCCAAAATAGATCTAACTAAGGAGTTAAATAACAGAATTAAAGTGGAACATTTTTTAAAGTCTTTGCTAACCCTTAGAACAAAACCTAGCATTCGATAAGCTTTAGAAGTTATATTTTCAATGTGATTATTAAACGATAATTTGCTGTCCAGAATTACTCCCAGGTCCCTAACTAAAGTAACACGATTCAAGGACTGATCAGTTAGTTGATAATTATATAATATTTTTGATTTTTTCTTTCTAGTAAAACTTATAACACAACATTTACTTACGTTCAGATATAAGCAATTATTATTGCAATAAGTAACCAAATTATTTAAATCTTGTTGTAGTAATAAACAGTCAGAATAACTTTTAATAGTTTTATATATTTTCATGTCATCCGCGTAAAGTATGAAACACGAATGATTAAACAGTGAGTTGATGTCATTGATAAATAAATTAAAAAATAAGGGACCAAGGTGCGAACCCTGTGGAACACCAGATGTAACAGGGACGAAAGATGAGCAAAAGCCCTTAATAACGACGGCTTGACTGCGCTCTCTAAGATAAGATTCCAGCCACCGAAGCAGATCACCATGTATACCGATTTCGCCAAGTTTCATAATTAATAGATCATGTGGAATTTTGTCAAATGCTTTGGAATAATCGGTATACACAGCATCTACCTGGTAGGATTGATCCATTGAAGAAGCTACTTTATGCACAAACTCACAAAGATTAGTTTCAGTAGATTTTTTACTTACAAAGCCGTGCTGCTGTTCAATAATAAAAGGACGTAGTACGGGATAAATTATATCATAAACACACTTTTCGAATAACTTCGGGATTATACTAATTTTGGAAATACCTCTATAGTTTTGAACATTATGCCTTTCACCGGATTTATGTACTGGTACAATATAAGACCGCTTCCAATCGACAGGAAAAGAACCACTACATAAAGATAGACGAAAAAGAAAGGTTAAGGGGCCAGAGAGAGATTTCCAGCATTTTTTTAGAAATACTGCTGGTACACCATCTGGTCCACAACCCTTTGTGACATCAAGAGTTTTTAAAAGTCTTTCAACTAAGGATTTACGGATGTCAACAGAGCCCATTGAGATACTACTACAACTACCTGGTGAAGTATGAGATGGAATATTCTGCTCTTGGTTAGGCTCAAATACAGACTGAAAATATGTACTAAATAAGTTGCACACATCACTACCCTCCGTGCATTGCACATCATTCAAGAATACCGTTTTAGGTATTTCACCCGAATTCTTTTTAGACTTTACAAATGACCAAAATTTCTTACAATTTTTTTGATGTTATCCTCAGCAGTGTCAATATATTTATCATAACAGTCAAGTTGCACCAGTTTTTGACGTCTATGAAGAAGGTCGAATGTATTATAGTCGCTCAATCTGCCATACAATTTCCAACGTTAATGAAATTTCAATTTTTCTTTTACAATTTTCACTAAACTTCGAGAGAACCAAGGTGGATACCGCGATCCACGTTTCACTTTCATTACAGGTACGAACCGGGAAATAACTCTGTCAACAATATCATAAAATTCAACTATGGCCAACTCAATGTTTTCTAAGTTATAAAGATTAGACCAGTCAGTTGCGATTAAGGCTTCATTTACTAAACTATAGTTTGCCTTATCAAATAATTTGACGATTCGAGGCGCAGGGCTTAAGTTTTGGTAATTTGTTATCCGGAAGTCACAGTGCAATGCAGGATGATGACCATCCTCAGGCACAAGTGGCTCCAAACATCGACTCACTTTACAGACTGAACTACAAAAAACTAAATCTAGTAATCGATTATTGGTATTAAAAATGTTATTGTACTGCTTTTAGTCAGTGAAGTTCAAGAAATTGCAGACCGACTGTATAAGTTTGTCATTACAGTTGCTATCAATGAGTCCTAAACACCCATCACTGGCTGATAGTGCCCATTGAGCATGTGACACATTAAAATCACCTACAACCAAGAACCTATCACATGACCGTGCCACCATTCGATCAGAGACTGCTTCAAAAAAAGTATCCATTGCCTCAAGCTGTAAATGGCAATGGGGAAAGCAACCGCAATAAACATGAAGTAACGCATCCCTGTTAATAAAAATCGAAACATACAAAGCGTCCGCCACCCAGTTTGTCACTGAAATAGTGGAATATCTAATAACAGAAATCCGTTGGTGCACCGCAACCAGTACCCCACCCCCAGCACGATCCCCTCGAGATGCATAATCACGATCAAAAAGCTCAGCATCAAAAATTCCAGGCAAGAGCCAAGTTTCTGTTAAGCATATTATGTCATAATTGTTTGTCATTAAGTTTCGAATAAAAGTGTTCGTCTTGGTACGAAGACCGCGTACGTTCTGATAATAGATCATGAGATTATTGTTATAAGCCATTTAAAATAGAGGAAATTAAAATTAACAACATTGAATTAACGCTGATATAAAACAGAAAACCTAAGCGCAACTCGAGAGACCAGATACCCCCGCTAATCGACAAACATACAATAAAATTCAGTGTTCCCGAAAAATAAGTCAATATGAATACAGTCAAAGTACAATATAGAAGAGCAAGATCATCCGCGATAGTAAACAAAATACAGATTAAAAATAATTTGATAAATAATAATTTAGTGAACAAATTAATAAGCAACACAAACAGCGAGGTAATTCTTATTTTATCTTGTTTAAATCTCTGACACAAAAAAACATGTATAATTGGACTAGTAGCCGACTGTCTAGCCATAATGGCGCAGTTCTTCACCCATACGTACTTATAATTCTTTTCTTTGGCCAAAGTTTTAGTTTTTTTCAATATTTCCTTATTGCTACCTGTGAGGTGATCATTGAAATAAATATTGGTATTGTTACCCGTAAATCCAATATCACAGGCCTTCAATTTAAGTTTTCTTAAATGGGACAAAAAGTCATCCTTCTTATAGCGTGCCAGGAATTTAACTACAATTGGCTTTATTTGTTTATTATTATCATCCTTAGTTTTTGGAGCTACTCTGGTAACAAAATCGATATCTGTGGAGGTGTCAAGCTGAAATTCTGTCTGATCGGCGATGTACTGAATCAAATGGACCAAGTTTTCAGCCTTTTTTTCCGGAACGAAACGAAAATTGGAAAAAAAACAGTCAGCCGCAAGTCAGTAGCTTCTCTCTGAAGATCTCTCAATTAAATTTGAAATTGATCATTGAGCAGTCTTTGTGACTTGAACATGCTAACTCTTGCTATCTAGATGTAACGGAAAGACCAGCGGAATAAACTTAAGTTACCCCAAATTTTTTTGTACATTTATCAGATATATATTTGGCAGATATTTAAATTATCATCAAAAAATAGAAATTGGTCCTCAAAAGATACAAATGTAACCTAACCTAACCTTTAGGCTTTGAGTTAACCCATTAGGTTACAAATTATATTCTTTAGGTGATCAT